CCCGCCTTGGCCTCCCAAAAAGTGCTGGGATTACAGGCTTAAGCCACTGTACCTGGCAAACTCTGTCTCTTAAAAAAGAAATTTACATTTATAGCAACAAATTTGATTAAGTCATTTTTGTTATATATTTGGGTTCAGAGATTTGTGAGTTGAGTCAGCCCTATCTTGTTAGCTTTGTGCCCTTTGACAAGCCAGATGTCTTCTCCAAGGCCTTTTTTCTCTCACTTTTAGAATGGAGAGAGTAGTTTATATGGATAGAAGGAAGTCAGAAAAAAACAAAACGGAGAGAGTAGTACCTGCCCAGCAGAGTCATGAAGAAGATTAAATTAAATAAGATGTCGATTAGCACAGTGCCTGGAAAAATAAGTGCTTAGTAAGTTGTTGATATAATTAACAGTAGTGGTTGCTGGAGGAGGAAGAGGTGATGGTGGTTTGATGGCTCTAGGCTTTTGATATATTTCTGGCCAAATTCACTATTTTAGAAGTGAGCTTTCTCTGTCCTGTAAATGTCTGCTTTCTGTATGCCAGGCACATTTCAGATACCTTAAACATTTAAAAATAATTCATGGGCCAGGCGTGGTGGCTCATGTTTATAATCCCAGCACTTTGGGAGACTGAGGAGGGCAGATCACGAGGTCAGGAGTCCGAGACCAGCCTGGCCAACATGGTGAAACCCCATCTCTAAAAATACAAAAATTAGCTCTTCATGGTGGCAGGCGGGCACCTGTGATCCTAGCTACTCTAGAGGCTGAGGCAGGAGAATCTCTTGAACCTGGGAGGTGGAGATTGCAGTGAGCTGAGACTGTGCTATTGCATTCTAGCCTGAAGTAGTACCCAGTTCTCATAAGGCTTTAGTAGAACAGCCACATACATACATACATTGCCACCAAAACTTAAAAAAAAAATTTTTTTTTGTAAGTAAGGACAGGGTTTCACCATATTGGCGAGGCTGGTCTCAAACCCCAGACCTTGTGATCTGCCTGCCTCAGCCTCCCAAAGTGCTAGGATTACAGGTGTTAGCCACTGTGCCTGGCCAAAAAAAAATGTTTTTTAATTCAATTTGAGACCAAATTTTGCTCTGTCACAGGCTGGAGTGCAGTGTCACAATCTCAGGTCACTGCAATCTCAGCCTCCAGAGCTCAAGCAGTCCTCCTACTTCTGCCTCCCAAGTAGCTGGAACCACAACCAAAATTTAAAAAAATACTTCAAGGCCGGGTGCGGTGGCTCACACCTTTAATCCCAGCACTTTGGGAGGCCGAGGCGGGTGGATCACAAGGTCAAGAGATCGAGACCATCCTGGTCAACAAGGTGAAACCCCGTCTCTACTAAAAATACAAAAATTAGCTAGGCATGGTGGTGTGCGCCTGTAGTCCCAGCTATTCGGGAGGCTGAGGCAGGAGAATTGCTTGAACCCAGAAGGCAGAGGTTGTGGTGAGCCGAGATCGTGCCATTACACTCCAGTCTGGGTAACAACAGTGAGACTCTGTCTCAAAAAAAAAAAAAAAAACAACTGCAAAAGTACACATTGACCAGGCGTAGTGGCTTATGACTGTAATCTAGCACTTTGGGAAGCTGAGGCAGGAAGATCATTTGAGCCCAGAGGTTCAAGACCAGCCTGGACAATGTAGTGAGACCCCCATCTCTACAAAAAAATTTAAGAATTAGCTGAGTATGGTGGCTCATGCCTGTGGTCTCATCTACTTAGGAGGCTGAAGTGGGGGATGGCTTGAGTCTGCGAGTCGAGGCTGCAGTGAAATGGGATTACACCACTGCACTCTAGCCTGGGTGACAGAGCACGACCCTGTCTCAAAAAAAAGTACATAGTATTTGTTGAAAGAAGAGCCTAAAAATGGTATACCTTTTTACCTAAGATATTAACACCTGAGAATTTATACCAAGGAAAAGTCTTTTAACACGATAATCATCAGAAGCTGCTTAATCTAAATACTAACAATCGAATACTTAAGTAAATTGTGATAAATCAAATCTGTATAGTATTATGTAGGCATTAACATAATTATGGAGACAAATGTGCAAAGCATTCAAAATATTTAATGAAATGAGATACAAAATCCTGTCTGCTGATAGTAGCTGTGCACAATTATAATATATGTGATCAAAGACTAAACAGGAATCTATCTGCAAATGAAAAACATTTTAAGAGAGGATTCTGAGTGATCTTTCTTGCATTTTAAATTTCTATGTTGTTAATAAAGTATTGTTTGTACAGTAAACCCTCATCTTTTAAAATTGTTGTTTCAGCTAGATGAACCTTGCATTTTCTTTTCTTTTTTTTTTTTTTGAGACAAAGTCTTGCTCCGTCGCCAGGCTGGAGTGCAGTGGCGCAATCTCGGCTCACTGCAACCTCCGCTTCCTGGGTTCCAGCAATTCTTCTGCCTCAGCCTCCCAAGTAGCTGGGACCACAGGTGTGTGCCACCACGCTTGGCTGATTTTTGTATTTTTAGTAGAGACGGGGTTCCACCATGGCCAGGATGGTCTCAGTCTCTTGACCTTGTGATCAGCCTGCCTCTCGGCCTCCCAAAGTGCTGGGATTACAGGCATAAGCCACCACACCCGGCCGAATCTTGCGTTTTCTTATCCTAAAAAGATGATGAGAAGAACTGAAGTAGGGGCTCAAAAATACAGTGGTAGAATATGCAACAAAAGGTGTTGCTCCTTTCAGTCACACAGTGAGTTTTTTGGGGCTCAAAATAGCCCCTGGAGAGGGGAGAGGGCTCTTGGTTCTCAGTGGCCAAATACACAACCATGTGGTCCTTAAATCTTTTTTTTTTTTTTTTTCCAAACCACCCACCCCTCCTGGTCCTCAAGTCTTAATGCTGTTACGCTCAGGAAGTAAGTTGTGAGAGAAGAGAGATTATATTATCTTTTTTTTTGAGACTGGGTTTCACTCTGTCACCCAGGGCTGGAGTACAGTGGCACAATATTGGTCCACTGCAACTTCCACCTCGCAGGTTCAAGCAATTCTAGTGTCTCAGCCTCCCAGGTGGCTGGAATTATGGGCATGTAGCCAAACCCAGATAATTTTTATGTTTTTAGTAGAGTCAGGGTTTTGCCATGTTGGCCAGCCTGGTTTCGAACTCCTGACCTCAGGTGATCTGCCTCTGCCTCCCAAAGTGGAATTACACAATTGAGAACCACACCCGGCCATATTATCATTATTTAGCACTATTATTATTAAGAGTTTATAATCGGCCGGGCGCGGTGGCTCACACCTATAATCCCAGCACTTTGGGAGGCCAAGGCAGGTGGATCACGAGGTCAAGAGATCGAGACCATCCTGGTCAACAAGGTGAAACCCTGTCTCTACTAAAAATACTGAAAATTAGCTGGGCACGGTGGTATGCGCCGGTAATCCCAGCTACTCGGGACGCTGAGGCAGGAGAATTGCTTGAACCCAGAAAGCAGACGTTGTGGTGAGCCAAGATCGTGCCATTGCACTCCAGTCTGGATAACAACAGCGAAACTCCATCTCAAAAAAAAAAGAGTTTATAATCTATTCATATACCAGATATGTAATTACAATCTCTGCTCTCCAGTAGTTTGCAAGTTAGGGATAAAGCTCCCATTAATTCTGAGTAGAAGGCCTTATACCTGGAAATGTCACCACGGAACAAAAAGCCGAAAGTATCCTGTGTAGAGATTTTCTCCTGGATAACTTATATATTAATATTAGCATCCTTGGATATATAGAAATCAATTTCAAGCCAGTCACAGTGGCTCACGTAATCCCAGGACTTTGAGAGGCCAAGGTGGGTGGATCACTTGAGGCCAGGAGTTTGACACCAGCCTGGCCCACATGGTGAAACCCCATCTCTACTAAAAATACAGATATTAGGCGGGTATGATGACGTATGCCTGTGGTCCCAGCTACTTGGGAGGCTGAGGCAGGATAATCGCTTGAAACCAGGAGGCAGAGGTTGCAGTGAACTGAAATTGTGCCACTGCACCCCAGCCTGGGTGCCAGATTGAGACTCCATTTAAAAAAAAAAAAAAAAGAAAGAGGCTGGGCATGGTGGTTTATGCCTGTAATCCCAGCACTTTGGGAGGCCGAGGTGGGTAGATCCGAGGTCAGGAGTTCGAGACCATCCTGGTCAACATGATGAAACCCCGTCTCTACTAAAAATTTAAAAATTAGCCGAGTATGGTGGCACGTGCCTGTAGTCCCAGCTCCCTGGGAGGCTGAGGCAGGACAAATTGCATGAACCTGGGAGGCAGAGGTTACGGTGAGCCAAGATCATGCCACTGCTGCACTTCAGCCTGGGCGACAGAGTCTCAAAAAATAGTAAAAAAGAAATCAATTTCCATTGATTTATTTTATATAATCTCTTCATATACTAGGTATTTCTTCCATAGGAAGAAATAAAGTCTTAGGAAATCAGACTATTGGACCAATCCTTTTATTTCCCCTTTTTCTTTTTCAGATTGGTATCATTTGGAAATAGGTGATGGGATTTGTAAGCACATAAAAGCAATACTAAATAGGGTTCTGATTTTACAGCCTAAGAATTTCTTTTTTTTTTTTTTTTTGAGACGGAGTTTCGCTCTTGTTACCCAGGCTGGAGTGCAATGGCATGATCTCGGCTCAGTGCAACCTCCATCTCCTGGGTTCAGGCAATTCTCCTGCCTCAGCCTCCTGAGTAGCTGGGATTACAGGCACACGCCACCATGCCCAGATAATTTTTTGTATTTTGAGTAGGGACGGGGTTTCACCATGTTGACCAGGATGGTCTCGATCTCTTGACCTCGTGATCCACCTGCCTCTGCCTCCCAAAGTGCTGGGATTACAGGCGTGAGCCACCAAGCCTGGCCCAAATTTCTTTTTAACAAATGTTTGTTTAGATAATGCTTAAGATAGCTAAACCTTTGTTGTATGTTGTCAAAGTTTATTTGGTGACTTTGGTGGGTACTAGGTAAAATCAAGGTGTCTAGCCAAAGCTGGCTCTTAGGATTTAGTCCTTTTTTTTTTTTTTTTAATTCAGTCTCCATAGAGACTGTCAAAAATTGCCAATGCCGACTAAATTTTGCAAGTTGTCACAGCAGAGTATTGGGAAAAGTTTTCAATTAGCAGTAATTGCGCCTCAGATAAACCTCATTGGCTATGATACTGCCACTGCACAAAGCTAGGACTTAGTCCTTTTTGACAGAGATCTCTAAAATCAAGGATTATAAATCAATTTATAGCTGTATATAAAGCTTATAAGAATTATGTCACTTAAATCCAAAATAATTATAAATTCTAATGTGGTCCTCCTTCCACAAAGTCACGATTCTGTGGCGAAACATCTGAATTCAAGATCTATTTATTATGAAGTACCATTAGTGATCTTAGCTAGCCAGTGCTGTAGTGCCTCTTTTGTAGGAGCAGTTTAGATTCACAGCTCAGAGTGTAAAAGATCTTGGCATGGCACAGACATGTGGATTTATTTATTTATTTATTTGAGACAGAGTCTTACTCTGTCGCCCAGGCTGGAATGTAGTGGCGTGATCTTGTCTTACTACAACCTCCGCCTCCCTAGTTCAGGTGATTCTCCTGCCTCAGCCTCCCAAGTAGCTGGGACTACAGGCACATGCCACCATGCCTGGCTATTTTTTGTATTTCCTTTATTTTTTTTTTTAGACAGAGTTTCGCTCTAGTTACCCAGGCTGGAGTGCAATGGTGCGATCTCGGCTCACCGCAACCTCCGCCTCCTGGGTTCAAGCAATTCTCCTGCCTCAGCCTCCCAAGTAGCTGGGACTACAGGCGTGTACCATGCCCAGCTAATATTTGTATTTTTAGTAGAGATAGGGTTTCACCATGTTGACCAGGATGGTCTCGATCTCTTGACCTCGTGATCCACTCACCTCAGCCTCCCAAAGTGCTGAGATTATAGACGTGAGCCACCGTGCACGGCCTTAATTTTTGTATTTCTTTTTTTTTTTGAGACGGAGTTTCGCTCTTGTTACCCAGGCTGGAGTGCAATGGCACGATCTCAGCTCACCACAACCTCTGCCTCCTGGGTTCAGGCAATTCTCCTGCCTTAGTCTCCCGAGTAGCTGGGACTACAGGCGCGCGCCACCATGCCCAGCTAATTTTTTGTATTTTTAGTAGAGATGGGGTTTCACCATGTTGACCAGGATGGTCTCGATCTCTTGACCTCGTGATCCACCTGCCTCGGCCTCCCAAAGTGCTGGGATTACAGGCGTGAGCCCCCGCACCTGGCAATTTTTGTATTTCTAACGGAGACAGGGTTTCATTCACCATGTTGACCAGGCTGGTCTTGAATTCCTGACCTTAAGTGATCTGCCTGCGTTGACTGCCAAAAGTGCTGCAATTACAGACATGAGCCACTGTCCCCAGCCAGATTTTTTAATTTATTTATTTATGAGACAGAGTCTTACTGTCAGCCAGGCTGGAGTGCAGTGGTGTGTGGAGTCTGTCAGCCAGGCTGGAGTGCAGGCGGAACTCAGTAGCGGAACCCCTTTTGGGTTCAAGCGATTCTCCTGCCTCAGCCTCCTGAGTGACTGGGATTAAAGGCGCCTGCCACCATACCGGACTAATTTTTATATTTTTAGTAGAGACAGTTTCACCATGTTTGCCAGGCTGGTCTCGAACATCTGACCTCAGATGATCTGCCTGCCTTGGCCTCCCAAAGTGCTAGGATTACAGGCGTGAGCCACCACACCCTGTCCTGGATGTATTTATTTATTTATTTCCCCCCTTAGGCCCCAGAACTGAGAGGAGGCCCCTGGAGTTAGATAAAAGAATGTTTATTGCCATATGTTTTGTATTACTAAAAATTTGGATATGGCGTAAATGTCCGGTAATAGGGAATTCATTCAATAAATGTTAGTATATTCATGTAGTGACCTACCTTATTGCCATTAAAGGTATGTAGTAGCCAGGCATGGTGGCTCATGTCTGCAATCCCAGTGCTTTTGGGAGGCTAAGGCAAGAAGATCGCCTAAGCCCAGGAGGGTTTGAATCCAGCCTGGGCACCATAGTTGGACCCTGTCTATATAATTTAAAAAATGTATGTATAGTTCAAACTGTTCACCCATCACTATTTCCTTAGCATAAATTCCTACAATTGGTATTACAAGCTGTACATATTTTTTGTATATATTTTGAGACAGAGTCTTGCTCTTGTTGCCAAGCTGGAGTGCAGTGGCACAATCTTGGCTTACTGCAGCCCCCGTCTCCCGGATTCAAGCGATTCTCCTGCCTTAGTCTGCTGAGTAGCTGGAATTACAGGCACACGTCGCTACACCCAGCTAATTTTTGTATTTATAGTAGAGATGGGATTTTACCATGTTCGCCACGAGGTCTTGATCTCCTGACCTTGTGATCCGCCCGCCTTGAGTGCTGAGATGACAGGTGCGAGCCATTGTGCCCAGGTGCTATACATATTTTTAATGTTTGATAAATATTTTCTTTCCATTTTCTGTTGTGTTTCTTAGTCTTGGCTCTCTCCTTTGCTCTTCCCCACTTTCTCAGATTGGGACAGTGAATGGATTCTTCTGCTTCGATTTCTCTTGTCTTTCCTTTCCCCACCTCTCCACAGACAGGTTGCTCACGTGTCTTTTACTGACTACAACATAGTATATATTGTTGTCTGTGTGACCTGTGTAGAATTGCTTTCCTTTCTCATTGGGCTCCAGTCTGAAACACCCTTGAATTTTAGAGACATTGTAAAGTTCCCCCCTCTTCTTTTTTTGTTTTTAGAGACAAGGTTCTGTCACCCAGGCTGGGGGGCAGTGGCACGATTATAGCTCACTGTAGCCTTGACCTCCTGGGCCAAGGGATCCTCCTGCTTCAGTTGTCCAAGTAGCTGGGACTATAGGCTCATGCTACCACATAACTCCTGTTTTTGAGACAGAGTCTTACTCTGTCGCCAGGCTGGAGTGCAGTGGTGCAATCTTGGCTCACTGCAATCTCCACCTCCTGGGTTCAAGCGATTCTTTTGCCTCAGCCTCTTTAGTAGCTGGAATTACAGGCATGTGCCACCACGCCCGGCTAATTTTTGTACTTTTAGTAGAGACTGGGTTTCACCATGTTGGCCAGGATGGTCTCAATCTCTTGACCTCTTGGCCTTCCAAAGTGCTGGGATTACAGGCGTGAGCCACTGTGCCCCGCCGACTCTTTAAGCTACCTTTGTCTTTGTGTACTCTCATTTACATTTGTCTAGATACCCATGAATGCATGCAGAGATAGACTCACTAGTCTTACATGTCTCTTTCCCCGCTCTGTCCTAGAATGTAAACTGCCGGGAGTCTGAGTCTCGAGCTTACCTTGCTGTGCTTCTAGTTTCTGGCAGGAATCCCAGTAGGTTAATGTAGAGCAGCCTTATTCTGGGAAATGTTACTGGAGCTACATGAAGCCTTGGCCCCTTGTCAAAGAGCTTGGGAAGAGATTCTGTGGCAGCTCATCCACATCCCTGTTCCTTCCCATGAGGAAGCTCTATCCTTCAAGTTGTTCATTGTCATTCCTCCACAAGAATGAGGGTGAGGTTAGGGGTAAACTCTTAGTTTCCTGAGCCCTCTACAGACCCAACAGGTCTCGGTGTTTTTTTCAACTGAGGTCTTCCTTTGTATCAAGTGGTTTTCATTCAGTGTAGTAACCTGTTTTACACCCTGTAAAACTAAAGAAGCAGCAGAATAATAATGCAGTATTATCAGCTATCATTTGTTAAAGTACCTATTCTGTGCCAAGCCTTGTGCTAGACACTTGCATTTTATTAGATCTCTTAGCAACCCTATGGGAAGATTATATTATCCACATTATACAGATAAGAAGCAAGATTCAGAAAGATTGCCCAAGATCACACGGTAAATAGATAACCAATCTGGAATTTAAACCTAAACTTCTTTCAACTCCAAAACTGAAGGAGTTTGACTTAGGACTTTCATGGATATGAAGAGATGAAATCTTTTTTCTCATCTATTCTGGATGGCAAAAATGGAGCCTTATCTTAAGGCAAAGGAATGGACTAAAATAATTATTTTATTTTATTTTATTATTTTTTTTTTAATTTAAAATTTTAAAGCAAATAATGGAAGAGGACTAAAATAATTCTTAAAGTTTTAGCCAGCCCTCAGATCCATAGGAGAAACTCAGATCTTTCCAGGTTGCAGGTCACAGGTTACACTTGAGTCTCCCCCAACCCCAACATGGAGTTTCGCTCTTGTTGCCGAGGCTGGAGTGCAATGGCTCAATCACAGGTCACCGCAACTTCCACCTCCTAGGTTCAAGTGATTCTCCTGCCTTAGCCTTCTGAGTAGCTGGGATTACAGGCATGCGCCATCACACCCAGCTCATTTTTTATTTTTTATTTTATTTTATTTTTTAGGAAGACCTCACCCGAATATTTTATATTTTTAATAGAGATGGGGTTTCTCCATGTTGGTCAGGCTGGTCTTGAACTCATGACCTCAGGTGAACCACCTGCCTTGGCCTCCCAAAGTGCTGGGATTATAGGCGTGAGCCACCACACCCAGCCAAACACTTGAGTCTTATCCTACTCACTGCCCTCTGCACTACAGAGCAGAGTCTCTCTACATCAGTGCTCAAACTGTGCCTAGGGGTTTTGGAAAACTAGATTTTGGTTTAGTAAGTCTGGGTTAGGCCTGAGATTCTGCATTGTGTTCCTTTAAGTATCAAGGGTCTGGATCAATGGCTGTTAAACTTGGGAAATCATCTCATTCACATGGAGATCCTTGAAAAAAATTCAGTTTTGGTAGCTGCAAACTTAGAATTTCTTTTTTTTTTTTTCTTTCTTTTTTCTTTTTTTTTTTTTTTAGACAGGTCTCTCTCTGTTGCTCACGCTGGAGCGCAGTGGTTCAACCACAGCTCACTGTGGCCTTGACCTCCAACCTCCTGGGCTCAAGTGATCATCCCACCTCAGCCCTCTGGGTAGCTGGGACTACAGGCATGTGCTACCATGCTAACTTTTTGTATTTGTTGTAGAGATAGGGTCTCATTGTGTTGCCCCGACTGGTCTTGAACTCCTTGCCTCAAGTGATCCTCCTGCCTCAGCCTCCCAGCATCCTGGGAGGCATGGACGCTGGCATGAGCCACAATGCTCAGCCTAGAATTTCTTTTTCTTTCTTTTAATTTTTTTTTTAACTGACAGATAATTCTTATACATGTTTATGGGGTACAATGTGATATTTCAATATATATATACATTATGTAATGATCAAATCATGAATGTTAGCATATTAATCACTTCAAACACTTGTTACTTCTTTTTGATGAGAATATTCAAAATCCTCTAGCTATTTTGAAATATACAATAAAATTGTTGTCTGTGGTCACCCTACTGTACAATAGAACAGCAGAACTTATTCCTCCTATCTGTAGCTTTGTACCCATTGACCAACCTTTCTACTCTCACCTGCCCCAGTCTCCCTAGCCTCTGATAATTACTATTCTAATCTCTACTTCTATGAGATCAACTTTTTTTTTTTTTGAGACGGAGTCTCACTCTTGTTGCCAGGGCTGGAGTGCAGTGGTGCAGTCTTAGCTCACTGTAACCTTTGCCTCCTGGATTCAAGGGATTCTTATGCCTTAGCCTCCTGAGTAGCTGGGAATACAGGCATTTGACACCATGGCCAGTTAATTTTTGTATTTTTAGTAGAGATGGGGTTTTACCATGTTGGCCAGTCTGGTCTTGAATTCCTGACCTCAGGTGATCTGCCCCGCTTCAGCCTCCCAGAGTTCTGGGATTATAGGTGTGAGTCACTGTGCCTGGCAGACATCAACTTTTTAAGGTTCCACATTTAAATGAGGTCATGCGATATTCTGTACTTGGTTTGTTTAACTTAACACAATGTTCTCTAGGTTCATCCGTGTTGTCAAAAGGATTTCATTCTTTTTTATAGCTAAACAGTATTACATTGTGTGTCTGTGCCACATTTTCTTCATACATTCATCCATTGATGCATACTTAAGTTGATTCCATACCTTGGCTGTTGTGAATAATGCTGCAATAAACCTGAAATTCAGAAATTCCTAATGGAAGAGTTTTAGGGTAAGGCCTGGGAATCGTTTTTGTTTTGTAGTGTTTTTTATTTTATTTATTTATTTATTTTGAGACAGAGTCTCACTCTGTTGCCCAGGATGGAGTGCAGTGGTACTCCCTAGTTCAAGCAATTCTCCTCCCTCAGCCTCCCGAGTAGCTGGGACTACTGGTGTGTGCCACCACACCCAGCTAATTTTTTTTGTATTTTTAGTAGGGACAGGGTTTCACCATGTTAGCCAGGATGGTCTTGATCTCCTGACCTAGTAATCCGCCCGCCTCAGCCTTCCAAAATGCTGGGATTATAGGCGTGAGCCATTGCACTTGGCCAATAAAATAATTATATTTCATTGAAGAATCTTTCATGTATAATATTTATAAGCAGTTATTTCTAGAGTTTGAAGTCCATGGCAGGACATGTAGTAGGGGCTAGACTGAGGAGAGACTTGGTTTTGTTTTGTTTTTCTGAGGCAAGGTCTTGCTCTGTCACCCAGGTGGGAGTACAGTGGCACCATCACGGCTCACTGCAGCCTTGACCTCCTGGGCTCAACCAATCCTCCCACCTCATTTCAAAATTTTTTTGTAGAGACAAGATCTCACTGTGCTGTCAGAGCTGGTCATAAACTCCTGGGCTGAAGTAATCCTTCTGCCACAGCCTTCCAAAGTCTGGCCCTGAGGAGAGTCTTAATGGCATTATAAGGATCTCAGATTTAGGTTAAGGGGAGTCATTGGATATTTTTTGTTTTTGAGATGGAGTTTGACTCTTGTTTTCCACGCTGGAGTGCAATGGCATGATCTGGGCTCACTGCAGCCTCCGCCTCCTGGGTTCAAACGATTCTCCTGCCTCTAAACCATTCTCCTGCCTCAGCCTCCCAAGTAGTTGGGATTACAGGCGCATCCTACCATGCCTGGCTAATTTTTGTAATTTTAGTAGAGACAGGGTTTCACTGTGTTGGCCTGGCTGGTCTTAAACTCCTGACCTCAGGTGATCTGCATGCATTGGCCTCCCAAAGTGCTGGGATTACAGGCGTAAGCCACCGCACTTGGCCCATTGGATGTTTTTTGGTTGGGGACTGGCATTGGAAGATTTCCATTTTTAGTAAGATGACTCTGCTTATAATATAAAGAATAATTTTGATACCGGCATTGCCTGAAGGCACAAAGACTAATTGTGGTTGTCCAGGGAGAAGTGATGCGTGAGGAAGCAAAGGAAGGAGCCAGCTCTAAGAATATTTATAGATTGGGCAGGACTAGGATGATAGAAATGAGGGAGAAAGGAGTAACCTAGGATAAAATCCACACTTGAGTGACAGGGCAGATAATGGTAGCGTTAGGAAAGTGAGCAATTTGAGAAACAAGGTAATTTGTTTTGGGCATATTGAGTTTAAAATGCTTGTGGGCTGCATCAGCAATGATGCCAGTTAGGCAGGGAGTCTCCTGCTCTCAGGTAGTTGTCAGTTTGGGAGTGATTTGTTCCCCTCTTCTCCCTGCTCCCACTCAGTCTCTGACACTCTTCTAACTATATTTCTCTCTCTCTCTCTAATAAACATATATATATTTAAATATAAAGTATATATTATATGTATATTTAAATATATATTATGTATATTTAAATATATATTATATATATTTATATATGTATTCAGTGTAATGCCCTTGCCCAAGGTGTTGGACACCGTGGTAGAGCCCTACAATGCCACCCTCTCAGTCCACCAGCTCGTAGAAAACACAGACGAGACCTTTTGCATTGATAATGAAGCTCTCTAAGACATCTGCTTCTGAATCCTAAAACTGCCTACCCCCACCTATGATGACCTGAGCCACCTAGTGTCTGTACCATAAGTGGGGTCACCACCTGCCTGAGCTTCTGGGGCCAGCTCAAGGGCTGTGAACATGGTCCTGTTCCCCCGCTTGCACTTCTTCATGTCTGGCTTCGGCCTGCTGACCATCCAGGACAGCCAGCAGTACTGAGCCCCGACAGTGCCTGAGCCCACCCAGCAGATATTTGATGCCAAGAATATGATGGCTGCCTGTGCCCCCTCTGTGGCTGCTACTTAGCAGCTGCCATGTTCAGGGGCCATATGTCCATGGAGGAGGTTGATAAGTAAATGCTTAATCTCTAAAACAAGTATAACAGCTACTTTGTTGATTGAATCACCCACAAGGTGAAAACAGCTGTCTGTAACATCCCATCCTGGAGGCTAAAGATGTCTGCCACCGTCATTGGCAACAGCACAGCCATCTGGGATTTGCTCAGGTGCCTCTAGGAGCAGTTCAGTCATGTTCTGGCACAATGCCTTCCTGCACTAGTACATGGGCAAAGGCATGGACGAGATGGAGTTCACTGAGGCTATGAGCAACGTGAATGTGTCCAAGTGCAGGATGCCACAGCCAAGGAGAAGAGGGAGTTTGAGGAGTGGTCCTATGAGAAGGTGGCTTAGAGCTACTGAGTAAAGGGAAGAAGTGGTGTGAACTCTTTAATCACCCACAGTCTCTTCTGTGATACCCATGTATCACATGTCTGTGTATGCACTTGCTGTTCTTCATGTCTTGACATCACAGCTCTAAAGACACACCAATGAAAGCATTTTTATACTGAAAAAAACCATATAGTATATAAAAACATACATACATAAAACATTATGTATTTGCTTGTTTGAGACAGGTCTTGCTGTTTCGCCCAGGCTGGCTCAAATTTGTGATCCTTATGCCTCAGCCTCCTGAGTACCTAAGTAGTTGGGACTACGGACTTGCCACGTTGTCCACTTCCTTTTTGTATTTTAAACTTAAGACTCACTTAGTTTCTCCTTTCATTGATCTTCTGTGCAACCAGCAGGTTTATTTATGTAAAGGTCTGACTCATTTTGTCTTCACCATGAGAATTGCTGGCAGGATTTTATTTCAGCCTCTTAAGCTATAAGGTATATATATTAGGGCGGAGATTATTTCTCTTGTTCATAGCTGTGTTCATAGCACTTAGAACAGTACTGGCAAATAAGTGAGTGCCCTTAACGAATGAACTGTTGAATCACATGAGTTTGACTCCTATAAGGACTCTCCTTTCTCTAAAACGATCTTTTCCATAAAGCATTCTCTAAGTTGAATCTTGTAGGGTAAAGAGGTGGAAGAGAGTTTTTCAGGCAGAGGTAGCAAAGAGCAAAGGCAGGGAGGCATGGAAGTGAATGGGATGTGTGTGTATAGAGAACAGCCATGAGATATTAATAATTCTTCCTTGTCTTATGTCTCTGGTCATTCCAGAAAACTTAGTAATATTACTAGGTATATTAATAGCCATGATGTGTTCTGGGAATTGTGTTTCGTTTACAAGTTTCTGTGCATGGTTAGGTGAGGATTCAATGTATAAATTAGGCACAAACTGACAGAAAACTGACTGTGTTGGTCTTGCTCTTTGTGTCCATGGTCTAATACAAGGCCTCTTGGAAACCCCTGAAACCCAGGCAGAACTTTCTAATCTGTGTTCGTATACTTTCTAATCAGCATTCATGTAGTATTTTATTCCTGTCTCTATTATTATGTTATATTGACTTATTTGCATGTATTATTTCATTAGTAGCCCTGACCATGCCTTTAATAATTCCCAGAGTCTGACATGTAATAGACATTAACTAAATATTGATGAACAGTTGAACAAATGGATGCTTATACTGTGTATTGGGCACATTAAATTGGAACTATGTTCAGCTTTTATATCCATTTTTTTCTTGTAGCTATTTGTAGTAGATGTCCAGACAAGCCAGATCACCAAAATCCCCATTCTGAAAGACCGGGAGCCTGGAGGTGTGACCCAGCAAGGCTGTGGTATCCATGCCATTGAACTGAATCCTTCTAGAACACTGCTAGCCACTGGAGGAGACAACCCTAATAGTCTTGCCATCTATCGACTACCTACACTGGATCCTGTGTGCGTAGGAGATGTAAGTTTTCCCCATAGTTGTAGTTGGAGGGAGCCTTGTTTTTAAGTGGGTCTCAGTGGTTAACATGGACTCTCCTCTCAGCAGCCCACTTGGGAGCGGGTAGTTTCCTCTAGATTTCTGCTGACTCTCGGGACATAGGGTTGAAATACGGAGGTATAGGTATCAGAGTGGGGACTGGACTCCCCAAAGGGCCCAGTGTGTGTTAGATAAAGGGGCAAGCAGCACACCGCAGGGGCCAACAGTAGTGAGTTGCTGTTTGAATCCATAGTGTCCACATATTTCCCACTGCCCATAGTCAGAGAGTAGCAGAATTTACAAAGTCATCCATTCATTCATCAGGCATTTATTGAGTCTTCTATGGCCAGGCATTGTTTGAGACATGATTTGAGACACAGAAGCGAACAGAACAGATAAAGCCCCTGTCCTCTTGAAGCCTATTCTAGTGGAGGGTGACATATAAACCAAAATATAAACCGTATAAACCAATACTTACCTGTAATATGTCAGAGTGTGATAAGTGCCATGGAGAAGAACAAAGACAGCATAAAGGGACTGAGAGTGAGGTGGAGGATGCTGTAACAGAAGATAGAGAAAGTTTCATTGATAGGATGATACTTGAACAGGGAGACTTAAACGAAATGAGGGCACTAGCCATGTAGACGTCTAGATGTCTGGAGGAAGAGAGTTCCAGATAGAAGATGGGACCCAGAGGTAGAAGGAAAGAGCTATGTGTCCACTACCCACAGTAGTGCCAATTTCGTTCCCGCTTTAAGCTCCTTAAGATAGGTAAAGATTGTGTGGTCATGCTTTATGGGTTGAGACCACGAGAGATCAGAGTTGTAATTTTTACAAAACTATTTTCAGTCTGACTTGTATGCTTCTCTAGAGAGTTCATTACAATCCTTATTTCACTAATTTCTTGTTTTCCTCCCTGTACCTGTTACTCCCTGCTCTCCAAGGATGGACACAAGGACTGGATCTTTTCCATTGCATGGATCAGTGACACTATGGCAGTGTCTGGTAAAGTTGCTGTTTTATAGGGAGATTTTGGTATGGCAGGGATTGGGGGTTAGAAATTGAAAAGGGATAGTAGCGTGACAGGAAACAGCCCAGCCGGGCATTGTGGCTCATGCCTATAATCCCAGCACTTTGACAGGCTGGAGTGGGTGAATAACTTGAGCCCAAGAATTCAAGACCAGGCTAGGCAACATATGAGACCCTGTCTCTACAAAAAAATTTTTTTATTAATTAGCTAAGTTGTACTGCATACCCATTGTCCCAGCTACTCAGGAGGCTGAGGCAGGAGTTATTGCTTGAGCCCAGGAGATCCAGGCTACATCAAGCTGTGATTGTGTCACTCCACTCCAGCCTGCATGGCAGAGAGTGACCCTATAGAATAAAAATGTTTTATTTAGTATAAAAGTGATACACATTTATTCTAAGAAATTCTACTGCCTTAGCTACTTGGGAGGCTGAGGCAGGAGAATTGCTTGAACCCAGCAGGCAGAGGTTGCAGGGAGCCGAGATCATGCCACTGCACTCCAACCTGGGTGACAGAGCAAGACTCTGTCTCAAAAAATATCTAGGTAGGACGGGGCATGGTAGCTCATGCCTGTAATCCAGGCCCTCTGGAGGCCAAAGCGGGTGGATCACCTGAGGTTGGGAGTTCAAGACCAGCCTGACCAACATGGTGAAACCCCGTCTTTAAAAAAAAAAAAAAAATAGGTAGGTAGGTAGGTAGATAGATTAAAAAAAAGTAAGGACCACCAACAAGATCTCTATCCAGACATAACCACTTTTTTTGTGGGTTGTTTTGTTTTCTTTTTGAGACAGTGTCTCATTTTTTCACCCAGGCTGGAGTACAGTGGCATGATCATAGCTCACTGCATCCTTGAATTCTCGAGCTCAGGTGATCCTTCTGCCTCAGCCTCCGAGGTAGCTGGGACTATAGGCACAAACTATCCCACACAGCTAGTAATAACCACTGTTGACATTTACAAACAGACTATAACTTGCCAGTCTTTTTTTCAGTACTTTTTTTGTTTTCCTTTAGACACAGGATCTTGTTCTATCACCCAGGCTGGAGTGCAGTGGCACTATCATGGCTCACTGCAGCCTTGAATTCCTGTGCTGGAGCTGTCCTCCTGCCTCAGCCTCCCAAAGTGCTTAGATTATATAGGCATTTGCCACTGCACCCAGCTTTAGTACAATTTTTTTTTTTAGTCTTGCAGGCTGGAATGCAGTGGCATGATCTCAGTTCACTGCAACCTCCACTTCCCAGGTTTAAACGATTCCCCTGCCTCCGGGTGACCACCACCACTCCAGGCTAATTTTTCTATTTTTAGTAGAGATGGGATTTCACCATATTGGTCAGGCTGGTCTCGAACTCCTGACCTCAGTGATTCGCCTGCCTTGGCCTCCCAAAGTGCTGGGATTACAGATGTGAGCCACTGTACCCAGCTCATAATTTTTAGTTGGTTAATATGAGATAATTTAGAAGATGTATATATACAATTCGTTGTGAAATCCTTTCTTTCTTTTTTTTTTTGAGATGGAGTTCTGCCATGTCACCCAGGCTGGAGTGCAATGCCGCAGTCTCAGCTCACTGCAACCTCCGCCTCCTGGATTCAAGCAGTTCTCCCTGCCTCAGCCTCCCAAGTAGCTGGGATTACAGGCGCCTGCCACCATGCCCAGCTATTTTTTGTATCTTTTAGTAGAGATAGGGTTTTGCCATGTTGGCCAGGCTGGTCTTGAACTCCTGACCTCAGGTGATCCTCCTGCCTTGGCCTCTCCACGTGCTGGGATTATAGGCGTGAGCCACTGCGCCTGGCCTCATTTTATTACTATTTATTGAGAATGAGTTTCGCTCTTATTGCCCTGGCTGGAGTGCAGTGAGGCGATCTTGGCTCACTGCAACCTCCGCTTTCTGGGTTCAAGTGATTCTCCTGCCTCAGCCTCTGAGTAGCTGGGATTACAGGCATGCACCATTACGCCGGCTAATTTTTTGTACTTTAAGTAGAGACAGGGTTTCTCTATATTGTTCAGGCTGGTCTTGAACTCTCGACCTCAGGTGATCCACCCTTCTCGGCCTACCAAAGTCCTGGGATTACAGTCTGAGCCACCGCACCCGGCCTTTATTATACTTTAATTTTTTCATAATATAACTTCGATGGGTTAAATGAGATCATACTGTACACAAAGTAATCTTCTGAAACACAATTATCTAATTATCTCATGCTGATGCTCAGATCTTCTATAGACTTTTTAGTATCTATAAGAATAAAAAGAAATTTTATAGCACAGCATACAAGGTCCCATGCCCTCCTTTCCAACTTTCTCTCTCTTAGCTTTCATGCCTGCACCCCATAATTTAGTTTAACAAACCATGTCTACTTCTCCAGATGTGCCATTCTCTCTATGGCCTTTTCTAATTTCACATGATTAACACTCTACTTTGGATTGATATGTCTGTCATATTAGATGGTTTTTTCTTGTTTTCGTAATTTCTGAGACAGAGCCTCACCCTGTCACCCAGGCTGGAGTGCAGTGGCGAGATTTCTACTCACAGCAACCTCTGCCTCGCAGGTTCAAACACTTCTGCCTCAGCCTCCCAAGTAGCTGGGACTACAGGTACGTGCCGTCATGCCCGGCCAATTTTTTGTATTTTTAGTAGACAGGGTTTCACCATGTTGGCTAGGCTAGTCTCAAACTCCTGATTTGAAGTGATCTGCGTGCCTCAGCCTCTCAAAGTGCTGGAATTACAGGTGTGAGCCACCTCTCCCAGCCTAGATGTTTTTTTTTCTACGAAGCATTCAGGAGATTAGCAGTGTGGGAAGGGTGCCTTCTTGGTCTCAAAGAAGAATTGGCAAATAACTATTGGAAAAAGAATTTTTGTTATTGTTGTTGAGACAGGGTCTCACTCTGTTACCTAGGCTGGAGTGCAGTAGTGTGGTCGTTGCTCACTGCAACCTTGAACTAACTTCAAGTAGCTGGGACTACAGGCACACACAACCACACCTGGTTAATTATTTCTATTTTTTTTTTTTTTTATAAACTGGGTTTTGCTTTGTTGCCTAGTCTGCTCTCAAACTCCTAGGCTCAAGCATTCCTCCCACTTCAGCCTCTCAAAGTTCTGGGATTACAGGCATGAGCCACTGTGCCCAGCCTAAAACATAATTTTTTTTTTGCACCTTCTGGCAAAAACATAATTTCTTGATGCTCCATTTTATGTATAGAATAAAACCGTATTGTTGAACATACTGATTGTTGTGAATAAACATCTTTGTATTTGGGTATTGTGATAGTGGATTGTTTTCTGAATGGGAATATGAACTTTTTGTTTTTGTTTCTCTTGTCTTTCTTTTTTTTTTTTTTTTTTTTTGAGATGGAATCTTGCTCTGACACCCAGGCTGGAGTGCAGTGGCTTAATCTCAGCTCTGCAACCCCCAACTCCTGGGTTTGAGGGATTCTCTTGCCTCAGCCTTCCAAGTAGCTGGGAGTACAGGCACGTGCTATCATGGCCAGCTAATGTTTGTATTTTTAGTAGAGACAGGTTTTACCTTATTGGCTGGGCTTGTCTCAAACTCCTGACCTCGTGATCTGCCCACCTCAGCCTCCCAAAGTCTGGGATTACAGGCATGAGCCACTGTACCCAGCCATTGTTTCTCTTTTGTTGGGGAGATAAGGTCTCACTCTGTCACTGAGGCTGGAGTGCAGGGGCGTGATCATGGCTCACTGCAGCCTTCACCTCCCAGTCTCAAACAATCCTCCTTCTCAGCACTCCATCCCCCTCACCAAGTAGCTGGGACTACAGGCATGCGCCACCATATCCAGCTAGTTTTTTGTATTTTTTTGTAGAAATGGTGTTTCAACATTTTGCCCAGGCTGATCACTCCTGGCCTCAGTGATCTGCCTGCCTAAGCCTCCCAAAGTGCTGGGATTACAAGCGTGAGCCACTGTACCCGGCCAGGAATACAAAATTTCCTTGCTGCAGGTTGCTCAGTTGTCCCCTAGAAAAATACCATTTTAGCTTGCCACCAACAGTATATTCAAGGCTCAATGCACAGAAAAGTGTTCTTGGTTTTTTAGAAAGATACCATTTTAGGCCGGGTGCGGTGGCTCACGCCTATAATCCCAGCACTTTGGGAGGCTGAGGCGGGTGGATCACGAGGTCAAGAGATCAAGACCATCCTGGTCAAAAAGGTGAAACTCAGTCTCTACTAAAAATACAAAAATTAGCTGGGCATGGTGGTGCGCGCCTGTCCCAGCTGCTCGGGAGACTGAGGCAGGAGAATTTCTTGAACCCAGGAGGTGGAGGTTGCGGTGAGCCAAGATTGTGCCATTGCACTCCAGTCTGGGTAACAACAGTGAAACTCCATCTAAAAAAAAAAAAGAAAGAAAGATACCATTTTAGCTTGCCACCAACAGGGCTCAATGCACAGAAAAGTGTTATTGGTTTTGTAAGTGCTTTATTGCTAAGAAAAATGATTTTTCATAGAAAAGTAATTCTTTTTTATGTTTGGAGGCAGGGTCTCTGTTGCCCAGACTAGAGTGCAGTGTGATCTTGGCTTGATCTTGGCTCAAGATCTTGGCTCCCTGTACCCTTGACCTCTCTGGGCTCCAGTGACCCTCCCACATCAGCCTCCAGGGTAGCTGGGACTATAGGTTCGTGCCACCACGCCTGCCTAATTTTGTACTTTTTGTAGAGACAGGGTTTTGCCATGTTGCCCAGCCTCCCAGAATGCTGGGATTATAGGCCTGTACCACTGCACCCAGCCTAGAACAGTCGTCATTATTATTATTTTTTTTGAGATGGCATCTCACTCTGTCACCCAGGTTGGAGTCAGTGGCACGATCTCAGCTCACTGCAACCGCTGCTTACCCGGCTCAAGCTATCCTCCCAGCTCAGCCTCCCGAGTAGCTGAGGCCACAGGCGTATGCCACCACGCCTGGCTAAATTTTTGTATTTTTGGTGAGATGGGGTTGCCATGTTGCCCAGGCTGTTCTCAAACTCCTGAGCTCAGGTGGTCCACCCACCTCGGCTTCCCAAAGTGCTCAGATTACAAGTGTGAACAGTAATTGTTAATAAAGAACAGTCTAGAACAGTCTTTTTTTTTTGAGATGGAGTCTTGCTCGGTCACCCAGGCCGGAGTGCAGTAGCACAATTTTGCCTCACTGCAACCTCTGCCTCCCAGGTTTAAGCAATTCCCTGCTTCAGCCTCCCAGGTAGCTGGGATTGCAGGCACCTGCCACCACATCCAGCTAGTTTTTTTTGTATTTTTAGTAGACACAGTTTTCACCATCTTGGCCAGGCAGGTCTTAAACACCTGACCTTGTGATCCACCCACCGCAGCCTCCCAAAGTGCTGGGATTAGAGGCGTGAGCCACTGCGCCCAGCCAAACAGTCATTCTAAAGGGATTGTGGCTTGGCACAGTGGCTCACACTTCTAGTTCCAGTATTTTGAGAGGCTTAATCAGGAGTTTGAGATCAGGACTCCAGGACCAGCCTGGGTAACATAGTGAGACCCCATTTTTATAAAAATAAAAAATTACCTGGCCATGATGATACACGCCTGTAGACCCAGCTACCTGGGAGACTGAGGCAGGAGAATTGCTTTTTTTTTTTTTTTTCTAGTTTTTATTTTTTATTTATTAAGATATGGTTTCACCATGATGGCCAGGCTGGTCTTGAATTCCTGACCTCAGGTGATCAACCCACCTCGGCCTCCCAAAGTGCTAGGATTACAGGCGTGAGCCACTGTGCCTGGCAGGAGAATTGCTTAAATCCAGGAGGTTGAAGCTGCAATGAGCCATGATCATATTATTGCACTCCAGCCTGGGTGACAGCCAGAACCTGTCTCATTAAAAAAAAAAAAAAAAAATGGGAAGTGGTTATAGTCCCTATGGAAAGCCTTCAGGAAGCCCATGGAACTCCCTGAAATTGAATGTAAAATGTTTTGTTTTTGTGTAATTTTCTAGAAAAAGAGGCCTAGGTTGGATATGGTGGTGGTTCATGCCTTTAATCTTAGCACTTTGAGAGACCGAAGTGTGAGGATCACTTGAGGCAGGGGTTGAAGACTAGCCTTAGCAACAAATTGAGACCCTCTCCCCATCTCTATAAAAAATAAAAAAACCAAGGCCAGGCCAGGCTTGGTGGCTAACGCCTATAACTACCAGTTTAGCAGGATGAGGCGGCTGGATCACTTGAGCCCAGGAGTTTAAGACCAACCTGGACAATATGACAAAACCCTGTCTATACAGAAAAAAAAAATGCAAAAATTAGTCAGGTGTGGTGGTACCTGTAGTCCCAGCTACTCAGGAGGCTGAGGTGAGAGGACCACTTGTGCCCAGAAGGTGGAGGTTGCAGTGAACTGAGACTGCACCACTGCACTCCAGCCTGGGCAACAGAGTGACACTTTGTATTTAAAAAAAAAAAAAAAAAAAAAAAAACAGCCAGTCATGGGGGTGCATACCTGTGGTATCCCCTACTTTGGAGGCAGGAGGATTACTTAAGCCCAGCAAGTTGAGCCTGCAGTGAGCTATGATCATGCCACTACTGCCCTCTCTTGCCTGAAACACAGAGTGGGGCCCTGTCTCTTAAAAAAAGAGATGTAGGGGGTCCAAGGCTCAAAAAGGTTAAGTACCACTGCTCTAGAGGGGAGGATTCCTAAGCCCTACTGCCCACTAAAAATCAGCTGTGGATGCATGCCAAGTGACCTAAACATTTGGCATAGAAAATTAGTGAGCTTTGGCCAGGCATGGTGGCTCACACCTGTATCCCAGCACTTTGGGAGGCTGAGGCAGGTGGATCGCAAGGTCAGGAGTTCCAGACCAGCCTGGCCAACATAATGAAACCCTCTCTGTACTGAAAATACAAAAATTAGCCAAGCATGGTGGCACACGCCTGTAGTCCCAACTACTTGGGAGGCTGAGGCAGAAGAATTGCTTGAATCCGGGAGGCAGAGGTTGCAGTGAGCTGAGAATGCCACTGCACTCCAGTCTGGGTGACAGAGTGAGATTCTGTCTCCAAAAAAAGAAAACTAGTGAGCTTTATCAAAATGTATAAAATTTTTGTTAAAAATTTTCAAGCAAGGGGGCCAGGCGCTGTGGCTCACGCCTGTAATCCCAGCACTTTGGGAGGCCGAGGCAGGTGGATCACGAGGTAAAGAGATCGAGACCATCCTGGTCAACATAGTGAAACCCCGTCTCTACTAAAAATATAAAAAATTAGCTGGGCATGGTGGTGTGAGCCTGTAATCCCAGCTACTCAGGAGGCTGAGGCAGGAGAATTGCCTGAACCCAGGAGGCGGAGGTTGCGGTGAGCCGAGATCGCGCCATTGCACTCCAACCTGGGTAACAAGAGCGAAACTCCGTCTCAAAAAAAAAAAAAATTTTCAAGCAAGGCATGGTGGCTCATGCCTGTAATTCCAGCATTTTGGGAGGCTGAGGTGGGCGGATCACTTGAGGTCAGGAGTTCCATACCAACCTGGTCAACATGGTGAAACCCCATCTCTATTAAAATTTTTAAAAAGCCAGGCATAGTGGCTCACACCTGTAATCCCAGCATTTTGGGAGGCCGAGGCAGGCAGACCATTTAGGTCAGGAGTTCAAGACCAGCCTGGCCAATATGGTGAAACCGTCTCTACTAAAATACAAGAATTAGCCAGGCATGGTGGTGTGTGCCTGTAGTCCCAGGTACTTGGGAGGCTGGGACAGGAGAATCACTTGAACCTGGGAGGTGGAGGTTGCAGTATGCCGAGATCATGACATCACACTTTAGCCTGGGTGTCACACTGAGACTACATCTCAAAAATATAAATTAAAAAAAAAAAAATTTAGCAGGGTGCTGTGGCATGTGCCTGTGATCCCAGCCACTTGGGAGGCTGAAGCAGGAGAATCACTGGAATCCAGGAGTTGGAGGTCGCAGTGAGCTGAGATCATGCAACTGCACTCCAACCTGGGTGATAGAGTGAGACTCTGTCTCAAAAAAAAGAATAGGCCAGGTGTGGTGGCTCATGTAATCCTAGCACTGGGCAACATGGTGAAACCCCCTCTCTAATAAAAATAGAAAAAATAATAGTCGAGCATGGTGGCAGGCACCTGTAATCCCAGCTACTCGTCTCAAAAAGTAATAATAAATTTCAACAACCGTGTCAAACTTAAAAGTTATATTCTAATGTCTAGACCTTAGGTGAATCATTCTCTTAGTGCAGCTATTAAAATGTCTACTGCTTGGCTGGGTGTGGTGGCTCACACCTGTAATCCCAGCACTTTGGGAGGTCAAGGCAGGTGGATCACTTGAGTTTAGGAGTTCAAGACCAGCCTGGACAACATGGTGTAACCCCATCTCTACTAAAAATACAAAAATTGGCCAGGCATGGCCGGGTGCGGTGGCTCACGCCTGTAATCCTAGCACTTTGGGAGGCCAAGGTGGGTGGATCACTTGAGGTCAGGAGTTCAAGACCAGCCTGGCCATTATGGTGAAACCCCATCTTTAAAAAAAAAAAAAAAAATGGCCAGGCATGGCGGCGCATGCCTATAATCCCAGCTACTCGGGAGGCTGAGGCAGGAGAATCACTTGAACCTGGGAGGCAGAGGTTGCAGTGAGCTGAGTTTGCGCTCTCACGCCACTGCACTCCAGCTTGGGCAACAGTGAGACCCCCGTCTTAAAAAAAATGAAAAAGCCGGGCGTGGTGGCTCAAGCCTGTAATCCCAGCACTTGGGAGGCCGAGGCGGGTGGATCACGAGGTCAACAGATCGAGACCATCTTGGTCAACATGGTGAAACCCCGTCTCTACTAAAATTACAAAAAATTAGCTGGGCACGGTGGTGCGTGCCTGTAATCCCAGCTGCTCGGGAGGCTGAGGCAGGAGAATTGCCTGAACCCAGGAGGCGGAGGTTGCGGTGAGCCAAGATTGCGCCATTGCACTCCAGCCTGGGTAACAAGAGCGAAACTCCGTCTCAAAAAAAAAAAAAAAAAAAAAAAAAAAATGAAAAAATGCCTACTGCCCTGTGTTTAGGCTGGGCCATCTGGCCAAGCTTCAGTACATATGAGGATGATGCAGAAATAACTAGACTATGGAAGCCCATCTTGGCTTCTGTGGAATTTCCCACAGAGGGGTAGGTATATCTGACATATGTGTACTCCTGGCCCTGCAGGCTCACGTGATGGTTCTATGGGACTCTGGGAGGTGACAGATGATGTTTTGACCAAAAGTGATGCAAGACACAATGTATCACGGGTCCCTGTGTATGCACACATCACTCACAAGGCCTTAAAGGACATCCCCAAAGAAGACACAAACCCTGACAACTGCAAGGTTCGGGCTCTGGCCTTCAACAACAAGAACAAGGTATGAACTTGTCTAGGGATCCCTGAAGCCTATTCTTGTTTAAGTCTTGGGATATGCACTCCCCTTTCCTTCCCCATCAGTGCTTGCTACATAGTGTGGTTCTGACCCCACAGAGCACCCCTTAAAGGCTGAGGGATGCTAGTAAGAAATTACAACTGAGGCTGTGAAACCCACCCATTCAATTGATCTCTGCAGTATTTCTCTGAGTGGTCTATATTTGTGGGTCAGCCTCACAGAATTCCCCCAGGGCCACCCTGATTTGACTGTCTCTCATTTGCACATGCCTTTGCAGGTGCTCTATTCTGGGCATGATTTTCATACCTGCTTCTAAAAACAATCATTTTTTTTCTCTTCGATATTCATTCTTTATTTTTATTTTGTTTATTTATTTTTTTGAGACACAGTCTCGCTTTGTTGCCCAGCCTGGAGTGCAGTGGTATGATCTCTGCTTGCTGCAACCTCTGCCTCCCAGGCTCAAGTGATTCTCCTGCCTCAGCCTCCCAAGTAGCTGGGATTACAGACAGCTAATTTTTTTTTTTTGTATTTTTAGTAGAGATGGGGTTTCAACTTGTTGGCCAGGCTTGTCTTGAACGCCTGACCTCGTGATCCACCTGCCTAGGCCTCCCAAAGTGCTGGGATTACAGGCGTGAGCCACTGCACCCAGCCAGTATTCATTCTTTTTTTTTTTTTTTGAAACTGTGATTTGCTCTTGTCTCCTAGGCTGGAGTCTGGCATCCCAAAGTGCTGGGATTAGAGGCGTGAGCCACTGCCCCCAGCCAGTATTCATTCTTTACTGCCTACTTTCCCTTCACTCTTAAACTAAGTATTACCTTATCATTGAGTCAGATCTGATGCTGAGGTTTTAATAAAAGCAGAGTGTCAGTCAGGCGTAGTGGCTCACACCTGTAATCCCAGCACTTTGGGAGGCCGAGGCAGGCAGATCATGAAGTCAGGAGTTTGAGACTAGCCTGGCCAAAATGGTGAAGCCCCGTCTCTACTAAAAATACAAAAAAATTAGCCAGGTCTGGTGGCACACGCCTTTACTCCTAGCTACTTGAGAGGCCAAGGCAGGAGAATTGCTTGAACCCGGGAGGTGGAGTTTGCAGTAAGCCAAGATTGTGCCACTGCACTCCAGCCTGGGCAACAGATGGAGCAAGACTCCATCTTGGGGAAAAAAAAAACACAGAGTATATACCCAGAGCCAGAGAAAGTCTTCTCCAAAATCTGAATCAGGCTACAGTTAGGAGGGTAGTTCCCTCAGCCTCCTATCCTGTCTGTATGAACTGAGGGTAGATTCATCTCTCCTAGGTTAGACTCTTCACTTACAGAAATTCTCATACTAGGCCGGGCATGGTGGCTCACGCCTGTAATCTCAACACTTTGGGAGTCCAAGGCAGGTGGATCACCTGAGGTCAGGAGTTCAAGACCAGCCCGGCCAACATGGTGAAACCCTGTCTTAAAAAAAAAAGAGAGAGAAAAAAGAAATTCTCACTAGATTATGAAACTATCCTTCATATGTGTGCCCTACTTTAATTCTCCAACAGGATGTTGTTGAGGGAATGATGACATAGTGAGGAGTTTTTTAACCATGGGTGCCTGTGTTATTATGGGCAGCCTTAATTTACTATGTTGTCCAGCTGCATTTTATAGGGTAAACTAATAATTACTGGCATCTCTGCTGGAATCATCACAACCTGGGAGTAAAGGACCCCGACCATTGGATCTGTGCCTGCTCACTATTTTATATTAGTTGCTACAGATGTGAATATAACCTGGTTTTCATTGGTCTTGTAGGAACTGGGAGCAGTGTCTCTGGATGGCTACTTTCATCTCTGGAAGGCTGAAAATACACTGTCTAAGGTGTGATGAACATGATTTTGTTGTTTTACCTAATAATTTACCTTACCATTAAAATTCTGTAATTCTCCCAGAGCTTTTTCATTCTTGTTTATTTCATCTATCTATCTATTTATTTATTTTTGAGACAGAGTCTCACTTTGACACCCAGGCTGGAGTGCAATGGTGCAGTCTTGACTCACTGCAACCTCTGCCTCTTGGGTTGAAGCGATTCTTATGCCTTAGCCACCTGAGCAGCTGGGATTACAGGTCTCTGCCAACATGCCCAGCTATTCTTTTGCATTTTTAGTAGAAATAGGGTTTTACCATGTTGACCAGGTTGGTATTTTTATTTTATTTATATTGAGACTATAAATATAGGGTCTCACTCTGTCACCCAATCTGGAGTGCAATCATGGCTCATGGATCAGTATGCTCTTGAACTTCTGGGCATAAGCATTCCTCTTGCCTTAGCCTCCCAAGTAGCTGAGACTATAGGCATGTGTCACCACACCCATCTGGGCATTTTTGTTTTGTTTTGTTTAATTTTGTAGAGACAGAGTCTGTTATGTTGCCCAGGTTGATTTTGAACTCCTGACCTCAAGTGATCCTCCCACCTTGGTCTCACAAAGTGTTGGGAGTTAAAGCGTGAGCCATTGAACCTGGTCTCAATTATTGTTTAAAGACCAGTTCTTGGCTGTGCAGGGTGGCTCACGCCTGTAATCCCAGCACTTTGGGAGGCTGAGGCGGTCAGATCAGCTGAGATCAGGAGTTCAAGACCAGCCTGGCCAACATGGTGAATCTGCGTCTCTACTAAAAATACAAAAATTAGGCCAGGCGCAATGGCTCACACCTGTAATCCCAGCACTTTGGGAGGCCGAGGTGGGCGGATCACAAAGTCAGGAATTCAAGACTAGACTGACCAACATGGTAAAACCCTGTCTCTACTAAAAATTACAAAAATTAGCTGGGCATGGTGGCTCGTGCCTATAATCCCAGTTACTTGGGAGGCTGAGGTAGGAGAATTGCTTGAACTGGGACCCGAGAGGCAGAGGTTGCAGTGAGCTGAGATCAGGCCACTGTACTCCAGCCTGGGCTACAGAGCAAGACTCCATCTCAAAAAAACAAAACAAAACAACAAAACAAAAATTACCTCGGCGGGGAGGTGCATGCCTATAATCCCAGCTACTGGGGAGGCTGAGACAGGAGAATCTCTTGAACCTGGGAGACGGAGGTTGTAGTCAACTGAGATCATGCCACTGCACTCCAGCCTGGGCAGCAGAGTAAGACCCTGTCTTTAAAAAAAAAAGATGTATATGAAACAAATGAATTTTGTGGTTAGACTTGGGTGCCATCCCCAAGATAGCTTAATACGTATATGCAGATATTTAAAATCTGGAGAAATCCGAAATTGAAAACATCTGTAGTTACAAGCATTTATAAGGGAAACTCAACAAGCAGCTTTTACATAGAGTTAAACCTACATGTGAATCATTTATCTTTTTTTTGAGGCAGAGTCTCACTCCGTCGCCTAGGCTAGAGTGCAGCGGCACAATCTTGGCTCTCTGCAACCTCCACCTCCCAGGTTTAAGCGATTCTCCTGCCTCAGTCTCCTGAGTAGCTGGGATTACAGGTGTGCACCACCACATCAGGCTAATTTTTTGTATTTTTAGTAGAGATGGGGTCTCACCATGTTGGCCAGGATGATCTTGAGCTCCTGACCTCAGGTGATCCACCCGCCTTGGCCTCCCAAAGTGGTGGGATTACAGGCATGAGCCACTGAGTCCAGCTTTTTGTCATCTTCTTATCCTAGAGGCCTTTGCAAGAGGAAGCAGGGTTCCAGGAATTAGTGATTCCTTCATATCACAGTAGCCTTTGAGCTCCACTGACCCTGGGTGGTGTCTTATGAGTAGTATGCACCCACTGAAGATTTGCTGACTGACAAAGACCCAGGGTTAAGCTGATGTGGGTTATCTGGAATTAAGCTAGTCCATGAGTGTGCTTTCTGTAGTGTACAATTCCCAATCAGGTGGGAGGGTGGGCTGTGGGTAGCCAGAGATCAGCCTCTTTATATGAAAAGCAATGAGGAAAGTGGTGGCAGACACAACAAAGTGGGACCATGGCTTTAGTGCCCTTTAACAATTCCCAGAAACAACCTGAATTGTTGAAACAGCCTACCAAGAAAGGCCTTGGCCTTTCCAGCTACTTCTGATTATTTATTACAGATTTGCCTTTTCCCCAGCCTGTCTCCTTCAGTATCTAGGTCTTGTTTACTACAGTCACCTCCTCTTTCTCCTGTATACCTAGGGGTGGAACAGAGTGTTATTTCCATAATCAAGGCTTGACTTTATGTGGCTTATATATGAGGGAAGCCCACTGAGGTGGGAGTCCTAAGTCCTTGCCTTACACTCTCTGATGATGCCATGGGTACATACATCTCTCCTCTATTTTCAGCTCCTCTCCACCAAACTGCCATACTGCCGTGAGAATGTGTGTCTGGCCTATGGTAGTGAATGGTCAGTGTATGCAGTGGGCTCCCAAGCTCATGTCTCCTTCTTGGATCCACGGCAGCCATTATACAACGTCAAGTCTGTCTGCTCCAGGGAGCGAGGCAGTGGTAAGAGTCCCTGTGTGCACCTCAGGCCTACAGCTGCAATTGCATATGGGTTTTTACTTTCAGTTTCTTTGTTGGTTTCCAAACAGGTGTAGTGCTTTATATGGAACACATGGAAATGTATTCAAAAAGGGGAGTGACACAGGCCAGGTGGAGTGGCTCACGCCTGTAATCCCAACACTTTGGGAGGAGGGTGGATCATGAGGTCAGGAGTTTAAGACCAGCCTGGCCAACGTGGTGAAACCCTGCCTCTACTAAAAACACAAAAAATTAGCTGGGCGTGGTACCTGTAATCCCAGCTACTCAGGAGGCTGAGGCAGGAGAATCACTTGAACCTGGGAGGCGGAGGTTGCAGTAAGCCAAGATCATGCCATTGCATTCCAGCCTGGGCGACAGTGCAAGACTCTGACTCAAAAAAAAGGGGGAGGTGGTGACACAAAAGGCACTAGAGTTTCAAACACCACAGACAAATGTGTGGCCACAGAAGCCTTTGTTGGAAGCTACCATTCGGGATATTAGTTAGTGGTTTCCATGTTCATTTAGAGAGTCCTACTTTCTATCCTGTGGTAATTTTTTGCTGTGGCCCTGCCTAAACTAAAATTCCATTTATGCTAAGGTGTGACATGGTGGGATAAGGAGGAATTTACAAAAGGGCATGAGAAAACTTTAGGGTGATGAATATGCTCACTATGTAGATTGTGGTGATGATGTTATGGATATATACATATGTCAAAACCTCAAACTGTGTACTTTATGTGCAGTATACAATAAGGTTGTATAGGTTTGTATGACAAACCTCAATAAGGCCGAAGAAAATACTGAGTTTAGTTCTGACCTCTGGGTTAATTAGGCTTCCACCTCAAATCTTTTATAGCACGTTATTTGTAAGAGCACCCTCATTATTTATTGGAGGGGAGAAAAAACACTTAATATAGTGTACTTTGAAGGTTTCAAAATACTTTTTTCTGACATCCCATTTCATCATACCAAGAACCCTGTGGGAAGCAGATAAGAAAAGATAGTTTTACACGTAAGACCTGGAGCAGCTGGCTGGGTGCAGTGGATCATGCCTGTAATCCCAGCATTTTGGGAGGCCGAGATGGATGGATCACAAGGTCAGGAGTTGGAGACAAGCCTGGCCAATATGGTAAAACCCCATCTCTACTAAAAATACAAAAATTAGCTGGATGTAGTGGTGGGCAGCTGTAGTCCTAGCTTCTTGGGAGGCTAACGCAGGAAAATCACTTGAATCTGGGAGGCAGAGGTTGCAGGAAGCTGAGATCATGCCACTGCACTCTGTTGCCTGGGCAACAGAGCGACATTCCATCTAAAAAAAAAAAAAGACCTGGAACAGCTAAATAATTTGCCCAGCATCACATAGCTTGATGGGGGAACAGCTAGGGACCAGAATCCAGATCATCCAACTTAACAAATTATATTTTCTTTATCTCAGTATATCCTGTTCCTCATGCAAAAATATGACTTTAAAGGCACAGTATGGATTACAGTTCACCCTCTTTTTCAAATAGTGTTTATTTCTGTGCAGATACTGCAAAGCAGCTTTTGTTTTGGGTTTCTTTTTTTATTATTATTTTTTGGAGACAGGGTCCTCACTCTATTACCCAGGCTGGAGGACAGTGACACAGTCTCAGCTCACTGCAGCTTCCACCTGCCAGGCTAAAGCAGTACCCCCCACCTCAGCCTCCCAAGTGGCTGGGACTATAGTGTGTGCCACCTTGCTCAGCTAATTTTTGTATTTTTGTAGAGACAGGTTCTTGTCATGTTGCCCACACTGGTCTCAACCTCCTAGGCCACCCACCTAAGCCTCTCAAAGTGTGCTGGGATTACAGTCGTGAACTACTGTGCTCAGCTATTTCTCAGCTATTTCTTTCTTGCTTGCTTTTTTTTTTTTTGAAATGAGTCTTGCTCTGTCACCTAAGCTGGAGTGGAATGTCATGATCTCAGCTCACTGCAACCTCTGCCTCCTGGGTTCAAATGATTCTCCTGCCTTAGCCTCCCAAGTAGCTGGGACTACAGGTGTGTGCCACCACGCCCGGCTAATTTTTGTGTTTTTGGTAGAGATGGAGTTTCACCCTGTTGGGTAGGGTGGTCTTGAACTCCTGACCTCAAGTGATCCACTCACCTTGGCCTCCCAAAGTGCTGGGATTACAGGTGTGAACCTCCACACCCAGCATGTTTCTTCTTAATTATAGTTAAAATGCTTATTATTTTGGAACAAAGAATAATGTATAATGAGAGTAGTAGAGAGACTGGGCACGGTGGGTCATGCCTGTAATCCCAGCACTTTGGGAGGCCAAGGCAGGTGGATCACAAAATCAGGAAATTGAGACCATCATGGCCAACATGTTGAAACTCCCATCTCTACTAAAAATATAAAAATTAGCTGGGTGTGGTGGCACACGCCTGTAGTCCCAGCTGCTTAGGTGGCTGAGGCAGGAGAATTGATTGAACCCGGGAGGCAGAGTTTGCAGTGAGCCATGATCACGCCACTACATTCCATCCTGGCGACAGAGCCAGACTCCATCTCAAAAAAATAAAATTAAATTAAATTTTAAAAAAATGAGAGTACTAGAGAAAGGAATAAATAGGGCCGGGCGTAGCGGCTGACGGCCCATAATCCCAGCACTTTGGGAGGCCAAGGCAGACAGATCACCTGAGGTCAGGAGTTTGAGACCAGCATGATCAACATGGTAAAACCCTCTCTCTACTAGAAATTTAAAAAAAAATTAGCTGGGGGTGATAGCTGGTGCCTGTAGTCCCAGATACTCAGGAGGCTGAGGCGGGAGAATCACTTGAATCCGGGAGGTGGAGGTTGCAGTGACCGAGATTGTGCCATTTCACTCCAGCTTGGGCAATAGAGGGAGACTATCTCAAAAAAAGGAAAAAAAAAAAAGGAGTAAGTAGATTTAGCTGGAAAAATGTGAGCATTGAAAAGTTTTAAGAGATTTTGGATACTGTTTAATGGCAGTAACTTTCATACCTAATAAGGAAATACTGGCTCCACAAATATCCAGTTCTTATGTGCCAAGAGACATCTTCATATCCCAAGCACTTATTTGATCCCCAAGTACAGCAGATACGTTTTCCTTGTGACCTAAAGTAATTACATGACTTGTCTTAAACTTCTTTGGGTATTAAGTTCTGGGCTTTTTGCCACTCTCAGAACACCTAATACCAGATTAAGACTTCTTGCATTGTGGCTGGGCGTGGTAGCTCATGCCTGTAATTCCAGCACTTTGGGAGGCCGAAGTTGCTGGATCACTTGAGATCCAGGAGTTCAAGACCAGTGTGACCAACATAGTGAAACCCTGTCTCTATTTGAAAATGCAAGAATTGGCCGGGTCCAGTGGCTCAAGCCTGTAATCCCAGCACTTCGGGAGGCCGAGGCAGGTGGATCACAAGGTCAAGAGATCGAGACCATCCTGGTCAATATGGTGAAACCCCATCTCTACTAAAAATACAAAAAATTAGCTGGGCATGGTGGCACGTGCCTGTAATCCCAGCTACTCAGGAGGCTGAGGCAGGAGAATTGCCTGAACTCAGGAGGAGGTTGAGGTGAGCCGAGATCGCTCCATTGCACTCCAGCCTGGGTAACAAGAGCAAAAGTCTGTCTCAAAAAAAAAAAAAAAAAAAGAAAATGCAAGAATTAGCCAGGCGCCGTCGCTCACGCCTGTAATCCCAGCACTTTTGGAGGCTGAGGAGGGCGGATCACCTGAGGTAGGGAGTTTGAGACCAGCCTGACCAACATGGAGAAATCCCATCTCTACTAAAAATACAAAAATTAGCAGGGCGTGGTGGTTCATGCCTGTAATCCCAGCTACTTGGGAGGCTGAGGCAGGAGAATTGCTTCAACCTGGGAGGCGGAGGTTGTGGTTAGCCGAGACCATGCCACTGCATTCTAGTGGTCAAGAGGGAAACTCTGTCTCAAAAAAAAAAGAAAAGAAAAGAAAATGCAAGAATTAGCTGGGTCTGGTGGCAGTGCCTATAGTCCCAGCTACTTGGGAGGCTGAGCCAGGAGAACTGCTTCAACCCAGAAGGCAGAGGTTGCAGTGAGCCAAGGTCATGCCATTGCACTCTAGCCTGGACAACAGAGTGACTCCATAACAAAAAATAAAAGACTTCTTGTATTGTCACAGTAGCGGTTTTAGGTCAAATACAAGGAATCCTTACTGACATAATGATGTATAAATATGCAGATTACCCTGAGTTGCTGTGTAGATTGGAAATATATGATATGGAGAAGAGCTTAGAGTTAGAAGATGACTCCAGAGTGAGTTGAGAGGAAGCAAGGAAGTTCTGAGCACTTAACGGTCTTCAGCCAAAAGCATCTTGAGCATCATCAGGAATCTGACACTTTTCCAAGGCTTTTTAGGTGGTTTCTGTTAGTGTGTGGATAGGTAGGATGGCATCAGGATTCTCTTTGCTTTTCCATGAGCTTAGTTGCCATTGGAAAAGCACTGTCTGATACTTGGTTGTGGGGGATCGGCAGTGGGAACTCAGTGTTGGAAAAATTCAGGCTAGCAGCCAGTCAAGCACATATTCTCTCCCGCCTCACTCCCTTTTACTTTTCTCTCTTTTAGGGATCCGGTCAGTGAGTTTCTATGAGCACATCATCACTGTGGGAACAGGGCAGGGCTCCCTGCTGTTCTATGACATCCGAGCTCAGAGATTTCTGGAAGAGAGGCTCTCAGCTTGTTATGGGTCCAAGCCCAAACTAGCAGGGGAGAATCTGAAACTAACCACTGGCAAAGGCTGGCTGGTGAGTAGGCCCCTGCCTGAGATGACTGCTACACAGTAACAGAAAAATTATCTTCCTCTACTCCTCAACCCCCACTGACATACCATCTACTTATACTTTTTCACTAGTAAGAGGCACTTCTTGGAACAGGAAAAGTATTCCCCCTGATTTTGCTTTTGTGTGTGCACATTGCCAATGGAAAAACTGGGGCCCAGTAAAACACACTGATTGACCTAGGATTCTCTCCCTAAGGCATAATAGAGGAAGAAGGATAAGGAACTTCCCACCAGAGCTGCCAGTGATTTTTTTTTTTTTTTTAAGATGGGGTTTCACCATGATGGCCAGGCTGGTCTTGAACTCCTGACCTCAGGTGATCCACCCACCTTGGCCTCCCAAAGTACTAGGATTACAGGCGTGAACCACCACGCCTGGCCTTTTTTTTTTTTTTTTTTTTTTTGAGATAGGGTCACTTTGTTGCCCAGGCTGGAGTGCAGTGGTGTGATCATAGCTTACTGTATGTAGTCTTGAACTCCTGGGCTCAAGCAGTTCTTTTGCATCAGCCTCCCAAGTAGCTGGTACCACAGGCATGTGCACTATACCCAGCTAATTTATTTTTTTAGTAGAGATGGGGGCTCGACATGTTGCCCAGGCTGGTCTCAAACTCCTGGGCTCAACTGATTCTCTCACTTTGGCCTCCTAAACTTCTGGGGTTACAGCCATGAACCACTGCACCCCACCTCCAGTGAATTATTTAAGTGTTTGGTTCTTCTTCCTGTGACTAGTGAGTGGAGGGAAAACAGAAGTTTGGTTCCAGCTCTCCTGAGAAGACCTGAGCCTTGTCTAGCAATTCTTCAGCTGCTCTGTTCTTCTCTAATGTTTAGTTGGAAAAATGAGGCCCCAATTCCCATGAAAACCAACAGCCAATCTCCTGACATGAGGCTGTACCTATGAACCCTGTTTCCTTAAGGAGACCCGAAAGCATTCCAGTCCCTTCCTCCCTCTTTTCCTGCCCCATGGCTAGAGGTGCTAATGTAGTCTCTTTCTCTTCCCATAGAATCATGATGAAACCTGGAGGAATTACTTTTCAGACATTGATTTCTTCCCCAATGCTGTTTACACCCACTGCTATGACTCGTCTGGAACGAAACTCTTTGTGGCAGGAGGTCCCCTCCCTTCAGGGCTCCATGGAAACTATGCTGGGCTCTGGAGTTAATGACAACTTAACTCCCCAAATGTAGAGATTTATACTAACTTCCATCCTCAGTTTCCTTGTTTCTTTTGAAAATTTTTTCCCTAATTGTGTGAGGCTCTCGTGTTTTAGTTGGGAACACCAAAGTTTGCCTATGGTTTAGGCACTTAATAGGAAGAAGCTCTGTACAGAAATCTGAAGGTTGTTTTGTTTTTTGTTTTCCCTTTTGGTAATCAAAATTTTATTATCTTTTATGCTTTCTCTCTTTTCAACCAAACATTGTTGCTAATCCTTATTTTTCTTTAAGTGACACATATTCTCCCTTCTCTGGCTTCTTTAGGCTGAAATGACATAGTCATTCTCACCCTTACTTCACTCTTGAGAGGTAGGGCTCCTTTATAATTATATGGTTGCTGTCAGACTTTCTGTGAAAGTTTGGGAGCTGTGTGTGTGTGTGTGTGTGTGTGTGTGTGTGTGTGTGATCTTACGTGCCTGTAGGTACTGTGTGTCACTGAAATTACCTGGAGTGAGGATTACTTGTAATTAAAATATTTATAAAAGAAACAAACTTTATTCACAGAGTCCAGCTTTGGGACTAGTCTGTATCTTGTTTTTTAAAGTTTAACAACACTGATAATAGGAAGTAAAAATGGAAAGGAAAAGAAATTACCACTGGGCAAACCTTTTGAGTTAGATTGCAGGCTTCCTGGGGCCTCCCATGCCAGAACTGCAAAGTGATCCAGCCCTACCTGTCTTCCCACCTGTGTGTTCCCCGTGTGGGAAGTTTGGGTCACTTCCACTACCCACCCTCCCATCTGCCTAGCCAGTAGCCAGTCTCCTAAAACATCAAACTCACCATCCAGATGCAGCTCTAGAGGCTGCAAAAGGTTTCATGGGACTTGGTAGAGAGGATCCCAATCCTTGCTTTCCTCTCCTTCCCCTTAAGACCTGATCTGGTGTTTTAGGGGCCTGGAGCTGGGAGTCTCAAGTCTGCTAAGATTCACATCCATAGTCCCCTTGGCTTTGAAGAGAACCCTCTCTGTCATTCTTCCAGTCTCCCCAATGGGTTTTCACTTATTTTCTAAATTGGGTTAAGTCTAAGAGGGTGGGGGGTGAGCAGGGGTTTTATCCGTGTGTAGTGAGTGCTTCTTGTGTGGAATATTCATTTTCTTACTGCAGCGGGACTTGGGGTTGAAGCCACCCCTCCTACTCAGTTGGCACAGCCCTGAAATGGTGACAGGCTGGTCTGCAGTCAGCATCATCGTGCATGTAACAGCATCCATGTGGTTAGTAATTTGTCTATTCCTCCCTTGAACTGTCTGTTTAGTCTGAGGTTTTTAAACTTGCAGGCAACTGACCATGCTGTCCACTTGTTCCCTGCTTTTTATGCATCATGTCGAAGATAACAGCTGTTCCCACCCACGAATTCCTCTAAGCACATATTCTGCTTTTCTGTTAACATCCCATTGTGGGGAAAGGAAAAGTCATATTTATTCCTACACCCCAGTTTTTTAACTTGCTCTCCCAGTTGTCCCCCTCTTCTCTGGATGTAAATAGGGAAATTGGGGAATAAAAAGAGTATCTTCCTCTTAATGGTGAGGGGCTGCTAGAGAGGGAGACAGCAAGTCCACCCTCACTTGTTACACAGCACATACCACAGGTTCTGGAATTCTCATCTTTGAACCTAGAGAAATAGGTGCTATAAATGGAATTAAACAAAATGCTGGATACTATAGATCTTTTAATTGTCTTAATTTTTTTTCTATTATTAAACTACAGGCTGTAGATTTCTTAGTTCTCACAGAACTTCTATCATTTTAAACTGACTTGTATATTTAAAAAAAAAACAAATCTTAAGTAGGATGTTTTGTACTATTGCCAGACCCTTTATTGTGATGGGCAATGCGTTTGATCGTTTGAGATTTTCTGTTTTTAAAAATGTAGGACTTGACTTTTTGCCAAGAAAAAAAATAAAAATTATTCCACTGCAAAATGTTGTGAGTATTGTATAGCCAAGAGCCTTCGAAAAAGGCTCCACATGACTGGTTGGATGGTTGGCTTGAGTTGTTGGGATTGCTTGTGGCAGTAGGGGAACACAAGTGTTGCCTCCAGGTTACAGGCAGGTCAAGTACAGACACAGATACTAAGACCTGCTTGCTCCCGGTCCCCAGCTCTAACCTAAGAGTTGCCCTGAGGTCCAGCTGAGGTTGGATATCCCCAGGGGAAGTAGTGTGACCTTACTTCTTTCATAAGTAAGGGTTGGTAAGCCAGGTACAGTGGCTCAGGCCTGCAATCCTAGCACTTTGGGAGGCCAAGGCGGACAGATCATGAGGTCAAGAGATTGAGACCATCCTGGCCAACATGGTGAAACCCCATCTCTATTAAAATTAGCCATGTGTGGCAGTGGGTGCCTGTGATTGCAGCTACTCTGGAGGCTGAGGCAGGAGTATTGCTTGAACCTGGGAGGTGGAAGTTGCAGTGAGCTGAGATCGTGCCACTGCACTCCAGCCTGGGTGACAGAGTAAGACTCAAAAAAAAGTAAGGGTTGGTAATAGGCCTTGTCTGCTTGGATGGTGCCCTGAGAATGACTGTGAAAGTGGCTGCATAGTATTCTGGGAGTAGGATGTTATTTATTTATTTGTTTTTTTTGTAGTTGGAACCATAGACCTTCACTGCCCTTTGTAAGAAGACACAGTGACCACAGTGAGTGATGCTCTTCCTAGAGCCTATTTGGAGCTATAGCTGAGAGAAACTGCTAAATCATACCACCCTTCCTCACACAGTCATCTCTGGTAAACCCACCAAGGTTGGGCCAGAATGAGATTCAATGTTAAAAAAAAAAAAAAATCTCTATTATCAAATCATTTTGGGGAAATGCAGATTAGAACAAAGGCAACTTCATTCCTTTAAGGTTTTTTTTAATGTCTAAAATTTGGAAAGGAGAGCTTTTATTTCTCAAAGGGTTGCACTCTGTAGCGTGGCCATTCTGACAGGCTGGGAAGTACAGCCTCTGGCCAGAAGCCAGAAACACACTCTGAGGGAGGGGCAAAGAACACAGGAATTTATGCTGAACAAAGTGATTGAATATACATATTTAATAAGTTAGGAGTGCTGAATATTTACAAAAGAAGAAATGTACACATGTATAACTGAACTCTCAGGTTTTTGATATTTTACTATGGGACTTGTTCCATGGAACATACTCAAAGAAAGGTGACCTAGGGGATGTGGGATTGACTTGGCCTAGGCCTCTGGCCTCCTGGAATCTTTGCCCTGCTCCCATTTTCCAGCCAGACTTTCCGGCAAAGTGTATATCACAGAAGGGCTTTGTGGACTTTATGGGGTTCCTTTTTTGCCAGCAGTCACTACTCCCTTTTATGAGAGAACTTGTTCTCTCTCAGGCCACATGCCACATGCCCTATTCCAAATAGTCTGCTGGTTGCTCCTCATCCTTTGGGTCGTTTGACAGAGGCTTTGGAACTGAACTGAATTCTTAGCCCTTCCTGACTTGTATATGCTGCAAGCCCCTGGTCCCCTGCCAACTCTAATTGATTATTGATCTGGCCCTGTGTTCCTAATAAAGCTAAAGACTGTCCCGAGTCCAGGCCACTCTGATCTAGCTGCCACCCAGACCATTCTAGTGCAGGTACCCAGAAATAGCAAATTGGGGTGTCTATACCTGTGTCGGCACCAGGGGATCAATCTTGGAGGAGTCAGCTTATGATCCAAGTGATTTCATTCTGCTTTTCAGTTGGCTGGTGTCTAGAAGACAACAATGAGGGGCGGGAGTGGTAGAGAAGGAATCATTCAATGTTATTTGGTTCATGCTAGTTCATTCACATCTTTCTTCATGCTAGTGTGCTGAGATAACGGAAAGGTTTGAGAGGATAGAAACATAGGCTGCTAATTCTGGAACCAGTGATGAAGACAATAAAAGGCTCAGGTTTCTTAGCTTGGTTCTGCCTTTAGCTCCTCCAAAGAATAATCTAATGAAGGCCGGGCGTAGTGGCTCACGCCTATAATCCCAGCACTTTGGGAGGCCTAGGTGGGTGGATCACGAGGTCAAGAGATTGACACCATCCTGGTCAACAAGGTGAAACCCTGTCTCTACTAAAAATACAAAAATTTGCTGGGCATGGTGGTGGTGCGCGCCTGTAGTCCCAGCTACTGGGGAGGCTGAGGCAGGAGAATTGCTTGAACCCAGAAGGCGGAGGTTGCGGTGAGCCGAGATCGCGCCATTGCACTCCAGTCTGGGTAACAACAGTGAAACTCCATCTCAAAAAAAAAAAAAGAGTAATCCAATGAAAGAAATGACACATAGGAATACAACCACTGGAGAGAAAGGTGTGAACTGAACTCAAGATGGAGTTGTGAGCTCTTTTATGGTTCAGCTCTCCAAGACAGGTGTGGACTATCCTCTTTCAGATTCTCCCTGGGTTGGGCCTCACATCTGAATACTCCACTTGACTAGTGTTTAATTGCCGAAGTCAGGATTTTTTTTTTTTTTTTTTGAGACGGAGTTTCGCTCTTGTTACCCAGGCTGGAGTGCAATGGTGCGATCTTGGCTCACCGCAACCTCCACCTCCTGGGTTCAGGCAATTCTCCTGCCTCAGCCTCCCGGGTAGCTGGCATTAAAGGTACACGCCACCATGCCCAGCTAATTTTTTGTATTTTTAGTAGAGACAGGGTTTCACCATGTTGACCAGGATGGTCTCGATCTCTTGACCTCGTGAGCCACCATGCCCGGTGGCGAAATCAGGATTTTTAAGGGATAATAATACTCATCAACAGTGCTCAGGTTGGGTGCGGTGGCCACGCCTGTAATCCCAACAATTTGGGAGGCCGAGGCGGGTGGATCACGAGGTCAAGAGATTGAGACCATCCAAGAGATCAAGATCATTTGAGGTCAGGAGTTCGAGACATGATTGACCTACACAGTGAAACCCCCATCTCTACTAAAATACAAAAAGTAGCTGGGGATGGTAGAGGGGCACCTGTAATCCCAGCTACTTAGGAGGCTGAGGCAGGAGAATCACTTGAACCCAGGAGGTGGAAGTTGCAGTGAGCTGAGATTGAGCCATTGCGCTCCAGCCTGGGTGACAGAGCAAGACTTCCTCTCAAACAAAACAAAACAAGAGTGCTGATAGTCATGTGTTTACTGTGCTTCTTGTTAAGCTGTATTTAGAGCTGTAATTAACATCCCTAGTGTTATGGACAGGAATAAAACAGATGATCAACTCATATCTTAAAGAAAATAATCCTTGCCATGATGAAACCCCGTCTCTACTAAAAATACAAAAATTAGCCGGGTGTGGTGGCACATACCTGTAGTCCCAGCTGCTTGGGAGGCTGAGGCGGAAGACTCGCTTGAACCCAGGAGGTGGAGGTTGCAGTGAGCCGAGATTGCGCCACTGCACTCCAGCATGGCGACAGAGCCAGACTCCGTCTCAAAAAAGAAAAAAGGAAAGAAAATAAACTGGGGTTGGGTGTGGTGGCTCACACCTGTAATGCAAGCACTTTGGGAGGCTGAGGCAGGCAGATCACGAGGTCAGGAGTTTGAGAGCAGCCTGGCCAATATGGTGAAACCCTGTCTCTACTGAAAAAAATACAAAAATTATGAAAAATACAAAATTAGCTGGGAGTGGTGGCGTGCCCCTGTAGTCCCAGCTACTCAGGAGGCTGAGGCAGGAGAATTGCTTGAACTGGGGAGGCAGAGGTTGCAGTGAATCAAGATCATGCCACTGCACTCCAGCCTCGGCAATAGAGTGAGATGCCATCTCAAAAAAAAAAAAAAGAAAAGAAACTGGGCTGGGTGTAGTGGCTTATACCTGTAATCTCCACACTTTGAGAGGCTGAGGTGGAGGACTGGTTGAAATCAGAAATTCGAGACCAATCTGGCCAACATAGTGAGACCCCCATCTCTACAAATAATGAGCTGTGAATGGTCATGCCCACCTGTAGTCCCAGCTACATGGGAGGCAGAGATGGGAAGATCACCTGAGCCTAGGAGTTTAAGGTTGTAGTGCTTCAGCATTGTGCCGCTGCACTCCAGCCTGGGCAACAAAGTGGAACCCTGTCTCAAAAAAGAAAAGAAACTGGCCAGGTTCAGTGGCTCATGTCTGTAATCCCAGCACTTTGGGAGGCCAAGGCAGGAAGATTGCATGACACTAGGAGTTCAAGATCAGCCTGGGCAATACAGCAAGACCCAGTCTCTACACAAAATTTAAAAAATAGCCAAGCATAATGGTGCATGCTGTAGTCCCAACTGCTTGGAAGGCAGAGACAGGAGGAGTGTTTGAGCCCAGGAGTATGAGGCTGCTGTGAACTATGATTGCGTCATTGCACTCCAATCTGGGTGACAGAGCAAAACCCTGTCTCAAAAAAAATAAGGCCGGGTTCAGTGGCTCATGCCTGTAATCCCAGCACTTTGGGAGGCCAAGGCAGATGGATCACGAGGTCAAGAGATCGAGACCATCCTGGTCAACATAGTGAAACCCCATCTCTACTAAAAATACAAAAAATTAGCTGGGCATGGTGGTGTGTGCCTGTAATCCCAGCTACTCAGGAGGCTGAGGCAGGAGAATTGCCTGAACCCAGGAGGCAGAGGATGTGGTGAGCCAAGATCGTGCCATTGCACTCCAGCCTGGGTAACAAGAGCAAAACTCTGTCTCAAAAAAAATAATAATAATAATAATAATAGGCCAAGTGCAGCAGGTTACACCTGTAATCCCAGCACTTTGGGAGGCTGAGGCAGGTTGGTCATCTAAGGTCAGGAGTTTGGGACCAGCCTAGCCAACATAGCGAGACTCTACCTCTACTAAAAATACAAAAATTAACTGGGTGTGGTGCTGTGTACCTGTAGTCCCAGCTACTTGGGAGACTGAGGCAGGAGAATCGTTTGAACCTAGGAGGTGGAGGTTGCAGTGAGCCGAGATCCAGCCATTGCACTCCAGCATGGGTGACAGAGTGAGACTCTGTCTCAAAAAAAAGAAAAAACATTAGAATTTTTTTTTGGTGACGTAGTCACTCTGTGCAATCACATGATCTCACCTCACTGCAAGCTCTGCCTCCCAGGTTCAAGTGATTCTCCTGCCTCAGCCTCCTGAGTAGATGGGACTACAGGTGCATGCCACCCCACCCTGCTAATTTTTGTATTTTTAGTAGAGATGGAGTTTCACTATGTTGGCCAGGCTGGTCTCAAACTCCTGACCTCATGATCCACCCACCTCAGCCTCCCAAGTAGCTGGGACTACAGGCGTGAGCCACTGTGCCCTGCCAGAAATTTTTTTTATAATAAAAAATGTTTTTTTCTTTTCTCCTCAGAAATTAATAAAAAAATTTTAAATGTACATACATAGTCCACGTTTGAAAGAATGAGGTAGCTGGGCATGGTGGCTCATGCCTATAATTCCAACACTTTGGAAGGCCAAGGTGCCAGGATCTCTTGGCTCAGGAGTTCAAGACCAGTCTGGGCAACACAGTGAGTTCCCATCTCTTCAAAATTTAAAACTTAGCCAGGCATGGCCAAGTGCAGTGGCTCATGCCTATAATCCTAGCACTTTGGGAGGCTGAGGCGGGCGGATCACCTGAGGTCAGGAGTTCCAGACCAATCTGTCCAACATGGCAAAATCCCGTCTCTACTAAAAATACAAGAATCAGCTGGGCGTGGTGGCGCACAACTGTAGTCCCAGCTACTTAGGAGGTTGAGGCCAGAAAATTGCTTGAGCCTGGGAGGCACAGGTTGCAATGAGCTGAGATTGTGCCACTGCATTCCAGCCTGGGTGACAGAGTGAGACTCTGTCTCAAAAAAATAAAAATAAAATGTCAGGCATGGTGGTGCACACCTGTGTTCCCAGCTATTCAGGAAGCTGAAATGGATCACTTGAGCCTGTAAGGTAAAGGGTGCAGTGACCTAAGATTGCACCATTGCACTCCAGCTGGGGTGACAGAGCAAGACGCTGTCTCAAAAAATAAATAAAAACATAAGCATGTCCTTTTGACATTTTGGGCTGGATGATTTAAAAAAAAAAATGAGGTAAATTTACATGTACTAACATAGAATGATTGTTAAGATATATTGTTAAGGCCGGGCGCGGTGGCTCAAGCCTGTAATCCCAGCACTTTGGGAGGCCGAGGCAGGTGGATCACAAGGTCAAGAGATTGAGACCATCCTGGTCAACATGGTGAAACCCCATCTCTACTAAAAAATACAAAAAACTAGCTGGGCATGGTGGCGCGTGCCTGTAATCCCAGCTACTCTGGAGGCTGAGGCAGGAGAATTGCCTGAACTCAGAAGGTGGAGGTTGTGGTAAGTCGAGATCGCACCATTGCACTCCAGCCTGAGTAACGAGCAAAACTCCGCTTCAAAAAAAAAAAAAAAATATATATATATATATATATATATATAGTTAAATGACAAAATCATAACAAACCAGCTTACCAAGTTCCCCTGTCAAAATCTTTCAAGGTGTAGTTCATGTTCCAACTCTTCTAGAAAGTCCATGGTCACACCTCTCCTTAGGGAGCCCTTCCTGCTGGCGGCTTTTCAAGCATAGGCAGGTTCAAGATTGGAGAGCCCCAGTCATGGGAGATTTGGGGTCAATGAATCCATCATACATCCAGTAGGGGGAGCCAGAGCTTAGTTCCTGGCCCCTGGAGATCCCTCTCCTGCATAAACAAACTCCACTTGGGGTGTGAGAAAGCAAAGATATGCTCAAAACACGTCTTTTAAGGGGATTGTGGGGAGAGGAAGGCAGCAGTGTAGTGTGAATCTTTGAAGGAGTTTTTTGTTTTTGTTTTGAGACAGTCTTGCTGTGTTGCCCAGGCTGGAGTGCAGTGGCCCCATCTCGGCTTACAGCAGCCTCAACCTCCTGGGCTCAAGCAATCCTCCCATCTCAGCCTCCTGGGCTCAAGCAATCCTCCCATCTCAGCCTCCTGAGACTACAGGCATGCACTACCATGCCTGGCTAATTTTCTTTCCTTTTTTTTTTTTCTTTTGGTAGAGAGAGGGTTTGCCGTATTACTCAGGCTGGTCTGAAACTTAAAGGAGTTTTGGGGGGTTTATTTTACTTTAAGGAGGTTTTCAGAGTAGCAATCCTTGAATCAAGCTTCTCTCTGCATTTATCTGCAGATTTGATTTACAAAGATATAGGTATACAACTTCTCAAAAGCCTGTGTTTTGTTGTTTAAAGCCAAATAAGGCTGGATGTAGTGGCTCATGCCTTTAATCCCAGCACTTTGGACGGTTGAGGCAGGCAGATCACTTGAGGTCAGGAGTTCAAGACCAGCTTGGCCAACGTGGTGAAACCCCATCTCTACTAAAAATACAAAAAAAAATCAGCCGGGCATGATGGTGAGCGCCCATAGTCCCAGCTACTTGGGAGGCTGAGGCATGAGAATCGCTTAAACCCATGAGGCAGAGGTTGTATTGATCTGAGATCATGCCACTGCACTCCAGCCTGGGTGACAGAGTGAAACTCTGTCTTAAAAAAAAAAAAAAAACAGCCGAATACAAATAGATTTTATTGTGGAAGGAATGGAATGTTGCCACTGGATCACCAAATTCAATAAATCCAGGTGGGGCACGGTGGCTCATACCTAACCTCAGCGCTTTTGAGAGATAGAGGTAGGAGGATTGCTTGAGGCCAGAAGCTCAAGACTAGCCTAGGCAACATAGCAAGACCTCACCTCTACAAAAAAAAACAAAAAAATTTAAGTCACTATAAGTGGCACATACCTGTAGTCCCAGCTACCTGGAAGGCTGAGGTGGGAGGATTGCTTGAGTGCAAGGAGTTTGAAGCTGTAGTTCATTATGACTGCACCACTGTACTTCAGCCTGGGTGCAGAGACAGACCCCATCTGAAATAAATAAACAGAGCATTGGTTGGAGGAGTTAGGTAGGAGGCAGCTTAGAGAAAGAGCACTGGATCTGAGTTTGATGCTCCCAGTTAAATTCTGTTTCTAATCATTAACCAACTTTTGACTGTAGGCAGGTAAGTAAATCTCTTGACTGACTGTGAATTTCTGCAACATGAAATGTGACAGTGTTTACAGAGCACAGCTATAAAGCATTCTTAGGGTTCCCTGAGTCATCGGCCGAGCTTTCACAGTCCAGGATTGATGGCAGAACTCCCTCACTTAAAGTCAGGTCAAATAATTGTAACTCTGAAGCACCAGAAATGGGGAGGTAACTTTTACACCCAGCTCCAAGCCCTTAAGCCTCCAGCCAGGCCTTTATCCAGTCCTGCACCATTAGCTTCTATACTCCTCCTGGTTGTAGCCTACCCTATATAACCACAGTGAGGCAAGACGCCCAGCCTTGTTGCCCACATGAAGAATAAGCCATGTGTGGCTTTTCCCCAGGACTCAGGGCACCTGAGCAACCTGGAGAAAGAAGCTGAAATCTGGGCTCTCAGATGTTACTGGGAGGCAGCTTCTCAGGGAACACTGGGATCTCTGCTAAGAACTGAGCTGGCACAATTGGATGGAGGCCCCAAGAAACAGGCTTTGGTGCTCATCAGATATGTCCTTTTAGGCAGAAGTGGCCATATACTGACCAAGGAAGAGGTGACTTGAATTGTTAGCCTTGCCCCACAGGCACGGTCTCAGCTCCTAAAAGTCCAGTTTGGCTCTATCTGTATTTGGAGAAAGGTATTGATTTCTGTTTTCCTCGAGATCTCTTCCCCTCCCCAGGTCTCTATTACCATCTGTAGCCAGCTGTGGCTACCGCTCAGGACAGGAATTTTCTGCAGGGGCTATATTCAGCAGCGCATGTCAGGGCCTGCAGGAACTGGTTTAACTTGCTTCTGAGAGTCTTGACTCCACCTCAGACTCCTTTGGCTTTGGGGTAGGGAGGTGATTCTAGAGGTTTGGGAGAGCAGGAGACAGGATACAGCCAAAGGGATCTGTCAAGTCAAGGAGGTCCCTGGAGAGAGGTGACTTTACAGGAGAAGAGGGCCTCCTAGGCTTCCACTAAACTATCTGCTCACAGGTCCCAAAACTCCAGCTTCTCTTCCTTTTTTTAAAAAAATTTTTTAGGGCCGGGCACAGTGGCTCAAGCCTGTAATCCCAGCACTTTGGGAGGCCAAGGCAGGTGGATCATGAGGTCAAGAGATCGAGACCGGAGACCCTTTTCACAAGATGGCGCCGAAAGCGAAGAAGGAAGCTCCTGCCCCTCCTAAAGCCGAAGCCAAAGCGAAGGCTTTAAAGGCCAAGAAGGCAGTGTTGAAAGGTGTCCACAGCCACAAAAAAAAGAAGATCCGCACGTCACCCACCTTCCGGTGGCCCAAGACACTGCGACTCCGGAGGCAGCCCAAGTATCCTCAGAAGAGCGCCCCCAGAAGAAACAAACTTGACCACTATGCGATCATCAAGTTTCCACTGACCACTGAGTCTGCCATGAAGAAGATAGACAACAACACACTTGTATTCATTGTGGATGTTAAAGCCAACAAACACCAGATCAAACAGGCTGTGAAAAAGCCCTATGACATTGATGTGGCCAAGGTCAACACCCTGATTCCGCCTGATGGAGAGATGAAGGCATATGTTCACTGGCTCCTGATTACGATGCTTTGGATGTTGCAAACAAAATTGGGATCATCTAAACAGTCCAGCTGGCTAATTCTAAATATATGTATATCTTTTCACCATAAAAAAAAAAAAAAAAAAAAAGAGATCGAGACCATCCTGGTCAACATGGTGAAACCCTGTCTCTACTAAAAATACAAAAAATTAGCTGAGCATGGTGGCACATGCCTGTAATCCCAGCTATTCAGGAGGCTGAGGCAGGAGAATTGCCTGAACCCAGGAGGCAGAGGTCGCAGTGAGCCGAGATCGCGCCATTGCACTCCAGCCTGGGTAACAAGAGCGAAACTCCATCTCAAAAAAAAAAAAAAAATTTTTTTTTGAGGCAGACTCTCACTCTACTGCCCAGGCTGGAATGCAGCAGTGCGATGTCCCCATTTCACTCCAGCATGGGCGACAAAGCTAGACTCCATCTCAAAATAAAATAAAATAGGCTGGGCGCAGTGGCTCACGCCTGTAATCCCAGCACTTTGAAAGTCCGAGGCAAGCGGATTGTCTGAGCTCAGGAGTTCGAGACCAAACTAGACAACACGGTGAAACCCTGTCTCTACTAAGATACAAATAATTAGCCGGGCATGATGGCATGCACCTGTAGTCCCAGCTACCTGGGAGGCTGAAGCAGGAGAATTGCTTGAACCCAGGAGGTGAAGGTTGCAGTGAGCCGAGATTGCACCACTGCACTCCAGCCTGGGCGACAGAGCAAGACTCTGTCTCCAAAAAAATAAAATAATAAGGCCGGCGTGGTGGCTCATGCCAGTAATCCCAGCACTTTGGGAGGCCGAGGTGGATGGATCACCTGATGTCAGGAGTTTGAAACCACCCTGACCAACAAGGTGAAACCCGGTCTTTTTCAAAAAAAAAAAGAAAATAATAAAAATAATAAAGTTATTTGTTATATAAAAAATATATATTTTATATATATGTTACATAAAAAATATATATATATTTTATATATATGTTATATATATATTTTATATATATATAAAATATGTTTCCATGTACCCCTCCAGATCTACTCTCTGTCCTGCTCAGTACTCCTGGTCTCTATCAGTAGGCCTTCTTGTTCTCTGCCTTCTGGTTAAATTCTTCCAGTGGAAATTAGGAGGAAAGAGGATTGAAAACAAAAGGTTATTTATTCCCCACTGACACCCCACCTTCTTAAAAGTGGGGTCACTGTAGACCCCTGTCAGGTGGCCCTTCTCATTTCTTCCCTGCTCCCTTCCTGTTATCCCTTCAAGCCCAATAGTGATCAGGTTTCAACAATATCATTGGCTCTGGGGCACTGTAACATCTCTCATTGTCTTTATTAAACTCTCCTCAATTATCCATCTGTTTCTTGCTGGAGACCTGATAAATAAGGACATGTATCTTACTACAGATTGCCATCTAACATGGCTCTGTCATTTGTCTGTAGGATCTTGGTAAGTTACCTAAACTTCCTGAGCCTCGGTTTCTCATATGTAAAATATTGCAGGAAGAGGAGGCATGCTCTGAAGTCGTTTTTCACTCATTTTTTTTTTTTTTTTTTTGAGACGGAGTTTCACTGTTGTTATCCAGACTGGAGTGCAATAGCACGATTTCAGCTCACCGCAACCTCCGCCTTCTGGCCTGCAATTCTCCTGCCTCTCAGCCTCCTGAGTAGCTGGGACTACAGGCGCACACCACCATGCCCAGCTAATTTTTTTGTATTTTTAGTAGAGACGGGGTTTCACCTTGTTGACCAGGATGGTCTTTATCTCTCGACCTCGTGATCCACCCGCCTCGGCCTCCCAAAGTGCTGGGATTATAGGTGTGAGCCACTGCGCCTGGCCTGTTTTTCACTCTTAAAATCTTTGGTTCTGTGGTGATAAAAGGTGATGATTCTAGCTCCTACAGAATTCAACCAGGAGAACTGGACCTGAATGGAAACATAGGTAAGATTATTCCACTGGGCATTTGGGCTGGGGGGAAGTTGCATGCTCAAAGTACCCCAGAGTGAAGAGTAGGGAAAAAGGCAAGAAATACCACCATCTGTACCGCATGAGTATTTATTTTAAACATGAGCCTTTCTAAGAAATTCTCCAGAGTTGTGGTGGGAATAGCTTTTATTTTGTCTTCAGCTCTGTTTGTATTTGCCTTCTCTTGTTAGGAAAAAAAAGTCAGAAAAATCTTTCTCCTGGTGTTTTTTTCTCAGTCTCTTTCAATTAGTAGTGCCTCTAGATCTCTCTGTATTTCAGTTCCTTTCTTTCTGTTTTTGTTTCTCTCCATGAAAACAAAGAAAAGAAAAGAAAAAGGCTTTTTCCCCTAGGATTCTCCCAGCGGGGAAGAATCAGAAAGTTCCTAGACCAGGCACCTGGCAGGTTTACAAATGAAGCAGCCAGAACTGACCAGCACCTGGGCGTGCCAGTTAGAGGAAAAGAAAGAGTCCCAGATGCTGGAAAGTTTTGGCCCCAGAGAAGTTTTCCCAGACTGAGTAAGGCAAAGGCCGACAATTACTTTTTTAACTTTTTTTTGCACCCAAGCTGGAGTGCAGTGGTGTGATCTCAGCTCACTGAAACCTCTGACTCCTGGGTTCAAGCGATTCTCCTGTCTCAGCCTCCCGAGTAGCTGGGATTACAGGCATGGGCCACCACGCCCTGCTAATTTTTGTATTTTTAGTAGAGACAGAGTTTCTTTATGTTGTTTCAGACTGGTCTCAAACTCCCGACCTCAGGTGATCTGCCCGCCTTGGCATCCCAAAGTGCTAGGATTATAGGCATGAGCCGTCTCCTGGCCTGACAATTACTTTTAACCTTATTTTCTTCTTTTTTGAGACAGAGTCATTTGCAGTGGCACGATCTCAGCTTACTGCAATGTCAGCCTTCCTAGTTCAAGTGATTCTCCTACCTCAGCCTTCTGAATAGCTGGGATTACAGACGTGTGCCATTATACCTGGCTAATTTTTGTATTTTTTTTTTTTTTTTTTTAGTAAAGATGGGGTTTCACCATGTTGGCCAGGCTCATCTTGAACTCTTGACCTCAAGTGATCCGTCTGCCTTGGCCTCCAAAAGTGCTGGGATAACAGGCGTGAGCCACCATGCCCAGCCTTTGAACTTTACATTTTGGAATGAATCCACTTTGGACAGAATCCACCTGGCTGTTTCTTGCATCACCCAGATGACTTATGCCTGTGATTTTTTTTTTTCTTAGCCATACATGAGCAATATACCTGTGATTTCAGGAAAAGTGCTCATAAGCCAGAGAGGGTGCCTGAGGTTTCTCTTTTACTGGAGTCATAGATGGCCCTAAAATTTTTAGAGCTGGAAGGATGTCAAAGATTATTTATAATAAATCCTCTTTGTTTTATAAGTGAAGGAACTAAGATCCAGAGATAGAAAGTCTTGCCCAAGGTCACACAGTAAATAGCGGAGGCTAATAATAGCTAAAGGGTATGGAATATAAGGAATATAATGCTTTCCTTATATTCACATTTAATCTCCTTTATGACTCCATGGACGAAGCATAGGTATCATCTTATTTTACAGATGAAGAAACTGAGGTCCAGAGTGATAAAGTAACTTGTCTGCACCGGAGTCAGAGTTCTCCACTACTTCACTCTCCACTTCCAGGATTATATTGTAGGTTGATGTAGCTTGATATATCCTGTAACTTTATTTATTATTATTTTTTTTTGAGACAAGGTGTCTCTCTGTCGCCCAGGCTAGAAGGCAGTGATGTGATCTCTGCTCACTATAACCTCTGCCTCCAGGGTTCAAGCGATTCTCCTGCCTCAGCCTCCAAAGTAGCTGGGATTACAGGTGTGCACCACCATGCCCGAATAAGTTTTGTATTTTTAGTAGAGATGGGGTTTCGACGTGTTGGCCAGGCTGGTCTTGAACTCCTGACCTCAAGTGATCTGCCTACCTCAGCCTCCCAAAGTACTAAGATTACAGGTGTGAGCCATGGTGCCCAGCCATATCCTATAACTTTAAATAGGCTATTTATGCCACAGAAATCAGCAAATGCTACAGATTAGGGCTTGTTTTGTTGATTGTTGGAATTTGTATTGCATGGGTTTTTTTGTTGTTGTTGTTTTGTTTTGTTTTGTTTGAGACAGGTTCTCACTCTGTCACCCAGGCTGGAGTGCACTGGCACTATCATGGCTCACTGCAACTTTGACCTCCCCAGGTTCAGGCGATCCTCTCACATCAGTCAGCTGAGCCATTGGAACTATAGGCATGCACTACCATGCCCAGCTAATTTCTCTCTCTCTCTTTTTTTTTTTTTTTTGCAGTGGGAGGTATAGATAGGATTCCCCCATGTTGCCCAGACTACTCTGAAACTCCTAGGTTCAAGCAATCCTCCCTCCTCAGCTCATCAGTTAGCTGGGACTGTAGGCATGTGCCACCACACATGGTTAATTTTTAAGTTTCTCGTAGAGACAGGGTCTCACTATGTTGCTAATTTTTATATTATCAGTGGAGACGGGATTTTGCCATGTTGCACAGGCTGGTTTCAAACTCCTGGCCTCAAGGGATCCACCTGTCTTGGCCTCTCAAAGTGCTGGGATTCCAGGTGTGAGCCACCACACCCAGCATGAGGTTTTCTTTTTAAGGTCCTGGCATTTGTTGGAGCTGCATTCCACCTAAGCCTGGGAACCTTGGCTGAATGCATCTCTAGACTGTTTAGGAACTCACTTCTTACTCATACTCAGAAACCAGGAAAATCTTCCCCTCATGCCCACCATGAGTACTGATGGCCTCTACTGAAGGTGCAGCTCTGGGCAGGTCACATGACCTGCTACAACCACCAACCTCAGCTGGCTGGACCAGGGTGAACAGCTCCATGTCCTAGAGTGACCATTGACCTATAGTACTAGAATATTTTCTGACTTGAAAAAACTGAGCCAATATATATATATATATTTTTGAGACAGAGTCTCGCTCTGTCACCCAGGCTGGAGAGCAGTGGAATGATTTTGGCTCACTGCAACCTCCACCTTCTGGGTTCAAGCAGTTTTTCCACCTCAGCCTCCAGAGTAGCTGGGACTATAGGCACACACCGTCATGCCTGGCTACTTTGTGTATTTTTAGTAGAGATGGAGTTTGACCATATTGGCCAGGCTGGTGTCAAACTCCTGACCTTGTGATCTGCCAGCCTTGGCCTCCT